AACAACAACAATAACCATGAACCAAGTCGGCAGGGGGGTTTTGGGTGATCAGGGGCTTTTCCCTCCACAATGCGGGCGCCCCGAAGATGACGACATATACCTCATATTATGAATATTCCACAAATAAAATTGAAGGGGTTGCCAAGGCAGATCGCCTTTTGAAATGCTTTCAAAATATAGCTTTGGAGTTTTTGGAATTAAATTGGCGACACTTGAACACGAACTGAAAATCAAATAATGCACTGTAAAGGAAGAAGTTCCAATAATTATACATACTTCTTTAAATTATAATAATTATTAGGATAAATGAACTTGCTTTAATAATCTTAATAATTAATTAATATTATTCTGAGTTTGAAACCTTGTTAGATCCGTAATATCATACTCTGTTTTACTATATTTCTCTGTATCAGAAGGGTTGCAACATAATTCAATTTACAAAACACTTTTGCACTGCAATTTTCAGTCGCTGATTTGTTGGTGGGTGGCACTGGCACTGTCAGTGGCATCATTCCGGTCCGCTTTTCAGATCGAGCCGTATATATGTACATATATAAGTCCGGACTCTGATTCTAGGCGCGAGCCAATTGACACAATCAAATTTTCGAACCTCACAAATTCGCTTAATGCGCGCCGCCCGAAACAAAAACAAAGATCCAAAACTGCAATCAACACTGCACAAAAAAGGGGATAAAGAGGTAAACTGTGGGGTGAACTGAGATGGGGATATAAGACAGTGGGTTAGCTTTAAGGGAACTATAAGTGATATATGTTTTTCTATTACTATATCATATAGGACTTTACCTATCCTAGTTTCACTTGCTCATATCAAAAAGCCCACTCTAAGTTGGATCATCAGAGGTAGACTCTGTGCCAGTTTAGTTTGATTATGCCGGACAGTTTGCAGGACGGACAGAACGGACAGAACGGACAGTTCTAAAAACGGATGCATTTTACTTCGGTGGCAAAAGTGATAACCTCATCACTGGCGCAACATTTTCCAGCCACCCAACGCCCCGTCTCGCCTCTAGCCAGCTAACATTACCATATCATCATCATCTCACCTCAAAAAAAAAAAATGAAAAAAAAAGAAATAGAGGAGGAAAAACTAGAACTAAGCGAATGTGTGGGCGGTCGGTAGGCAATTTTGCAAATGCGTTTAAGTGGCTCTAATGCCAGCGGGGGCGGGGTGTAATAGATGGGGTAATAGCGGGTTGGGGCGGGGCACAGGGATGCGCACGTGGATACGTATATAATATATAGATATATATATACCCCACACCATATAAATGATATACCCGGCACTGTCAGTCTGGCTGCGAATTATGCCACTTTTCCGACTGCACTCTGTGCAGATACAAATGCCCAGATACAATTGTATCTGTGCGTCTCGTTTAGTCGCGATTTGGAAACTGAAACTGAGATTCAAGCGACCGATAAGCCTATTACGAGGCGCTGCCCCTGAACGAAAGGAGGTCGGTCGTTTGGTCGTCGATGGTCAGTTGACCTTCACAAGGCTGTGTTGCGAAAAATACGGGGGAAAAACTAGAGTGGAAAATGGTTTTAGAAATACTTGATAAAGCTACTAAAAGTTGCAATTAAAATAGTTGGATTTGGATGCCATAGAAAGTATCTATCACTATCATTGGGATATATTTCTTCCATGGCATTTAATTTAAATAGAAAACAATAAAATAGTTAAATTGGTTAATAAATATTTAATCAGTTTACTAAATAAAGGGGAGGTTCTATTTACCCTAAAAAAACCTAAGGAGAGATTTATTTACCCCTCTAAAAATCCTTCAGATACAACTTTTTAAAGTCATTTTCTGAGCTTTAAAAAAATACGTATCTATCAGATATTTTTCTGGCTGACAATTCCCCCTCTTTCTGTACCCCCTACCCCTCCCCGTAAAGCTTTGCTGGGTGTTGCACTCGCTGATTGACTTGTGTTTCCCATTTTTAATTTGGTTAATTCAAATTAATCAAGCGACAGTTGATAATTCCATGGCAGCCTTCTCGTTGGTGAAATGCATTTGTTGCATGGAAAAATGGAAAGTGCATTGGCATTGGAGTCCAGACTCATACATATTCATATAAATACATACATATAGATATATATATGCAGATATAAAGTCATATTCATTCGCATTCAATGTTGTTGTTGTTGTCGTTGTCCAGACGCATTTCCCACTTTGTTGTTTGGCTCAATTAATGCAATTGCTCGCCTTTTTTGTCTCTTTTGCTGCTCCCGTTATTGTTGTTATTATTGTTGTTGTTTTTGTCATTCCGTGACATTATTCATTTATATTTATATTACTTTTTATAGCTGCTGCAGCTGTTGCATAATGCCCTCAGCATTTATAGCTCCAACGACAGCAGCAGCAGCATTAAATTGCATTATATTCTGTGATGCGTTTTAATTAATTTTGAGTTAATTTCGTATTTTATTATTATTATTATTTTGGTCATGTTTGTCAGGCACTCTTAATCCACACATTAAGGGATAATTGTGGATTTTTTCAAATCAACACTGATTGATTTTGGAATATTATAGAGGAGTTGGTGGTTTTATGGGGAGTTTATGTGAGAATTTATTTTCAAAGCGATCTTTATATTAGATATTTAAATTATAGATATACTTTTTGATTCATTTTTAAAGTAAAATTTAACTTACATATTATTAAAACATAACTATTTCCACAATTATGATATTATACCTAGTAAAACTATAAAATTAATAAACTTCTAAACAATCTAAATGTTATTGGATTATAAAATTGTTTAAATACATATCCTTGATTTTTACTCCTTTATTGTCTTTTAATTGATTCTTCTCACTCAAAATAAGAATTCAATTGGAAAATGCCATCAACGCGAGTGGTTTTACTTCCCCCATTTCAGATCCCCGATTGCTCCCATATCCCTTCTCCAGCTAATGCAATTGTTCATCCACACTGCATCCACATTCACATCCACATCCACATCCGCATCCGCTGGTATGACCCTCCGCTCCATCCTCCATTTTGTATTGCCCTGCAAAATGGTAATCCCCCGCTCTGATTGAATTTCCTCCGTTTTTGGCGACGGCTCGTGGCAGAAACTAGCGCAGCCTCCAATTCCTAAGCTTCCCCCTTTGTCCGAGGACGGGACTGTGGACAACAAAGGCTTACCACACAGATTTCCACCAATCTCCCAGCGCTTTTCCCTCTGCCAGCGCCGCCTCCTCTGGCTCTGCCACCTCCTATGCCATTTTCCAGGCAATTTCCTAGCACAGAGAAAAAAGTCGTGGAATAAATAGTACCTAAAAAAGAGTTCTTAAAACAATAAAATCAAATTAAATAAAAGGAGTTATAGAACTTTATGTTGTGGCAATTAATTTTACAACTTTAAACTACAAAATACTTAATTCTCAATATCTTTTTTTGTGTAATTCTTTTTAGGATTATATATATCCTTATATCCTTGCAGGGAATTATAATTTCAGTCAGACACTTGTAACGGTGTGAAGGAGTCCTTTCCGACCCTATAAATCATATATATTCTTGATCAGCATAAAAAACCAAATCGATCTAGCTATGTCTGACCAAAATTTATTTTTTTCAAAATTTGGAAAATTTATAAGGGTTACATCATTAAAATTTAAAAAAATGTGATAAATTTTGTAATTTTTTCGTATTTTAATTAAGTATGCAGATATATTAATCTAACAAAAACTAGCATAGGACGCTTTTCAAATTAAAATTAATGCTTAATTGGCTTAGTTATGAGTTTTTTAAACTTTGATTTGTTAGGTAAATTGTCATATAAAATCAATCGAAAAATATTGATTCAAATAACGCAAATATTTTAAGGTTTTTTATGATCTTGTGATCTAATCGCAAACTGGTAATAAACTTCGTCTTTTACTTTACTTATTGTTTTTGAATACCTTTTTCTACCTTTTTTTTGGTAAGTGCATTCAAATCGAAATCGTTGCGCTGTTTAGTGCGCACTTAATTGAATTTCGCGTGTGCTGCTGCTGCAGCTCCACCATCCGCCACACACACGGTTACACTCGTACTCACACACACAGATACCCTCGCACACCCATCTCACAGATACACCCCATAGCTGTGTGTGTGTGTGTGTGTGTGTTGCATTGTCTAGGCCACAAACATTGCCAAGTGCATTTCGTGCAATTGGATAATTGCATTTGGCTTGGCGTCGCCAGTTTCCAGGCAGTTTTCCAGAGACTATGTTGCCACACCATTTCGCACTTGTCACACGTGTTTTTGGCACTTTCAGGTGAGAAGGTTAGCCCCCAGGTGAGCTAATTTGCAGGTGGCGACCATTAGCACGGTCAGCCTGAAAGTAGGCACTGCGAATGGGGTTTGAAAACAACCCATACTTTATTTTATATAGTTCTTATACTTAGTTAATTAATCATTTAATACAATCAAACAAATTGTCTCACAGCGCGCATTAAATTGGTTACAAGTTTTCCAACTACCTGCATACTTCTGAGATAAAAGTCCTGGATTCTTGACTCCAAAGTTGGACTACATTTCCTCTGGCAATCTTCAAGGGTATTGAAAAAATTTCCTGTAATATAACAACCCGGGGCTTGATACTCTTCACAACCGTGATCTGGAATATACGTATATCCCGAGTTGCGTTCAGGACATTTTCCAGTAACCACGGGCCTCTTATTACAGACAGCTTAATTGGTGGTATATAAGAAGTTTATGTTTTCCTCAAGATAAAGTGATCATTTATATATTACTTACGTTCTTTCTGAGCCAAGGCAAGGCCTAGCAGGAGCAGAACCATAGAAATTTTCAGCACAAACTTCATTTTCAATGTTTTAAAAGCAACTGAATAATTAGACCTCACTTTCCGAGTTAAGTAAACTTTTTTTATATCCATTTACCCAACCTATATGAACCCTAACAAATTTCATTTTAAAAATCCAATTACACATTAACATAAATTAGCATAAGAAGCAATCTTAACGTAAATTGATCTGTTATAAAATTCTCATTTATTCAGAATTTATATAAAGGAAAAAACTATGCATTTAGAGCTTTATTAAATGCTTTTTTTCTATAACATTTTAGTCACTGGCATAATTTACTATGCCTTTTAACAGGTCTTGGATACGCGCCATGCTTCTGTTTATGAATGATACGAATCCACTTTCGTCAGAATTACTTGAACGGGGGGTAGCACACCTTTGCTTACACTCATCTTCGGAATGAAAAAAATTCCCAGTTACAGAACAGGCTCGAGTCCTAAACCTATGGCATTTGTCCGATCCAGATATATAAGCAAATCCTCGAATTCTCCTTCCGCAATCTCCAGTGACAATGGTGTCCGAATGACACCTATCTAGGGAAGAAATATTAAATAAAGTAATTTAAAAAAAAGGATAAATAGGAACAAGTAATACTCACTACTATTTTGAGCCAAGGCAAGACCCAGAATTATGGATATTAAACAAAAAACAAATACAAACTTCATTTTGTTCAAATTTCAGAGAACAACTTTTCCCCTCAGCTGTTGGCAAAAGACTGAAAATTGCCACCAAAGTTGGCATCAAGAAATAGAGATACAATTTGATTTGAATATATAATATAAATATATATATATATATATAAATTAAATATTAATATATTTATAGAATAAGCTCACTCCTTTGAACCCTATAAATATCTATATATGTATATATTAATATTTATACCAAATAATATCCTAATTATTAGGTAACCAAAGTTCATTGAAATGTTTAAACTTGAAATAAAGAAATTTATAGTTTTTTTTGAGGGGTTTAATCATAGCCATAGATTTATTTCAAAAATATATTAAATACAATTTATAATAGCTTACATATTTTGTAAACCGTAATATATATTTAACCTTGATTACAATGGATTTATTATTATTATATTTCCCTATTACAATACCCATTTCAAAATTCGTATTAACAAACAATGTAATTTCGTTGCACATTTACCGATAAAACGTATTTATTTTCCAAAGCATACAGTTCTTAAGGTAAATCAAAAATCGCGGAAAATATGTCGCGAGCCTGGGAAATGATTCGTTCCAAAAGGAAGCTAAATGGTGCCTGTGCAAAGGTCTCAATGGGTTTGCATTTAGCATCGCACTCCGCTCGAGTGAAGAAAAAGTTGCCAGCAATTTGACATCCTCTAGCCGCAAAATTAACGCATCTCTTCCTGATTTCGGAGTAACTATATCCAGACATCCGGTTCTGGCATGGCCCAATAACCAAAGGCTCCGAGGCACAATTAACTAAATGGAAAGAAAATCAATTACATTAAATGTAAGGATTTCCCGCTCTGAATACTCACTATCCAATATTTGTCCTTGGGCCAAGACCAACAGGACTAGCATTAAGGAAAGCGCAAAAATGAATTTCATTTTCTTATATTTTTCTCTCTTGAGCGCTTTTGGAAGTGAACTGTTTTCTTGGATGAATCGAAACAACTGAAATTCGTACGTCCAAATATCGACTATTAAAAGCTCCGTTTTGTTCTAAAGACTTACATTAACATAAGTCTATTTGCACATTTATAACTTGATTTAAAAGTTTTTAAGAGTTTTAACTACTTTGACCCCATTTTGATCCCATAAAAGACAATGGAATATATTATATATATAAGAATATACATATATTCCAAGTGGTAAAGTTCTTCCTAAGAGTTTAGTTTGATTTTGATGAAACATTTTACTAGACTTTGGAGTACAGATTTTGTAAACCTAATGAGGCTATGAAAATATATGAATTATATTTATTATTTATATAAAATATTTAGGTTAAAGTCAGCCATAAGTACGCACAAGTTTTAACAAGCATTAAGGTTACTAATATAAATGTTCTTTAAATTAGTTGTGCTTTAAAAAAGACTGAAGAAATCGTTTTTAAAATATAAAGAAAGGTTCAGTTTTATGCTGTTTATTTGTATTTTTAAATATTATCCATTTTTGGATAAAATCCATAAATTTACAATTATTACATATTATAGATACATATTTTTTAGGAAACTCATAGCAACATTGCAATATTTTATTCAACTCTAAAACCTTTATATATTTAAAAAAAAATACATATTCGTTTTCCTTAAATTTATTAAGTTGATATAATGCGTCTTACGTTTTTCATAACGTTATTCCTAGTTTAACATGCCCCTGTAGCTCTCGACTAGAAAATCGTTAAATGAGAAGTCATTGTGGCACCTGTCCGCTGGATTGGAAATATATATATAAGTATTTAATTGATACACTTTGCTTTACTATTACTTACAATCTCTCTGGGCCAGGACCATGGTCATAAGAAGAAATACTACACAAAGTGTGGCAACAAATTTCATTGTCATTTATGGATTTTGTATTTTCGATCTGAGGAAAACTGTCTTCTTCAGCTGCCTGAAAAGAACTGAAGGCCTTTAGCTCAAGTTTAAAAATATGAAATCTCTGCTTCACTGAATTTATAATTTTATGTGGCTATAAAGTTCTGGTTGTAAAAATTATAGATCTATTTGAATAATGGCTCTCAATTATTTGTGAATAATTTTCAAATAATGGTTTTGCATAAAATAACATATACCGTGAATTATCGTAAAAGATAGTTCGATATTTTGATTAAGAAATTGTCTCAATATTAGAAATAAAACATTAAAATTTGTATTTTTCGATATATTGTATATGTAATTTTTTACCCACTCTTGGTATACTGGGCTAAAAAGTAGATGTGTCTATTTGATATCCAAAAACTTCTTTAGATATTATTTAAATTCATATATAACCCCAACTCCATTTGCTGTGTAAGCAAACATCTCGAATATTTACAACTGATTTGCGTTTAATGTTTAAGTAAAAGCCCTGTCCAATTTGTGTCGCACTCAGGTATACATATGTAGTTATATATACATATAGTGTGCAGTTTCGTCCAACTAATTTGGCCCAAAGGCACCATTCCATTACCATTACCAGTGGACATTAAAATTTCAAAAATCAATTTCAGAAATAGCATTTTGATTTGATTTAAATTGTAACGCCCCAAGGCCCCAGCCAAAAGAGAGACAGAGAGAGAGTCCTAGCACAGGTCCGAGTATTATCCTGGGTGCTCAGCACCGCAAAGCCTCACCTGCACTCCGCACCTGACCTCTCTTGCTCACCTGTGATGGGCGCAGGACCAAGCCGAGCCTATTTAATACGTCCAAAATAATTCAGCATAAATTATTCAGGGGGAAATTAATTCACTAACAACACCCAGTAACGGGTCGCTGCTGGCACTAAAACTTTAGAGCCAGGGTCCTGCGGACCCATCCGGTATTCAGTAGTCCTAGTGTCCTCGGTGTCCTGGGTGTCCTGGTGCCGCATGTGCAACATTAGACACGAAATGGCAATTTTCCATTTGGCAAATGAGTTTTGCGGCCGACGGACTCCCAAATATAACAATTATGCAAAATTACAAATTCTCGCAATTCTAATGGAATGCCCTCCACCCCCCGAAATGGGGCGTTGAAAAGGACCCTCGACTGGTCGTCCTCCGCTGGCTAAATGGAAATTTATTGGCGCCACTTGTCCGGGGCCTCGACATTTGGGAACAGGCGGTGGCTACACCTGCGACCAGGACGAACACACACAGGAGGCTGGAATAATAACTGTAGCAGGATATTATATCCTGAACACTGGACAAAATAATTCTGATGAGATAAATTTAATAATATTAAACAAGATATTTATGCCAAGAAAAAGATAAACAAAGTCAAAGGAGGTTTTCTGTTCAACTAAGTATATTTATTTGGGAAGGTAATAGAATATTGATTAATTCAAAATTTGGGTAAGTCTACAACTATCTCCAGTTAATTAATTAATATTCTTTCATTTAATTTGTAGCTCTAGATTGTAGCTCTTTCTGTATAACATAACCACTGTTTGTTGAAAGTGTTATTTCCACAAATATTCTTCTGCTACATAGTATTAAATTCCAAAACGCATTTGATAAATCTTATTGCCCTCAAAGAAAAGTTTTTATTTAGCAATTGCGAAAGGGTTACAATTCAAATCATGAATCTAAAGTCGAATTTGAAGTCACTTCAGCACACGTCTTCATGCATTCTTTATAACTTCTAGAGTGACCATGTGCATGTATTCTACAAACTAGGTGTCGTTCGCAAGATTTTGTTTCTTTGTCACATATGTACCTGTATACTCGACCACAAAAACCAACGTCATCTAGATGAGCAAAATATTAATAGTGAATATATAGAGCATTGCTATCTTAATATACTTACAGAATTCGCCATGGCAAAGACCAAGCAAGCTTAGAATAAATGCGATTAAAGCGAGTTTCATTATAATTTTATTGTAATTTTTTTTTTATAATCTACCAACAGTCTGTGTCGATTGTTTTAAGAAGACTGAAGACAGAATTTGAGTTCGATGAAGTATAAATCATAATGTGTTGGAAAAATTATCAGAATTTGTAACAGTTTATGGCTCATTATTCACAGCCTGTTTGACTTTTGGCTTTTTCCAAAAGGTTTCTTATGCAGTTCTTAACTAAATTAATACCATTAAAAATTAAAAAAAAACCTTAACCTTTTTCTCTGTGTAATTAGGACACGCGCTGCCATCGAGCTGTCGTTCAATTATTTTGCGTGTGTAAATTTGGCGGAAATAGTCTGTAACATGATATGCTAACACTTGTGGTGGCCATATATCTCTATATATATGGCTATATATATAACTTTTGTGGGGTGACGTGTGCCTGGTATCATAAATAAATTTTGTAAAATGTTTTTTTTGTTAAGAAATTTACTCAAATAAATTAAAATGTTGCCTGGCACCTGCATGTCGCGCATTTTGAAGTAACAATTAATTTTAATTGCAATTGAAATGTAACGGAAATGCTATAAAAAAAACCAAAAAAAATGAAGGATATATGCACAAAAATTCAGGAAATTGTGTGTCCTGGTTATGAATGAAGGTATATATTTTCTGTTGTTATTTTTTGGTTATATATATTACTTATATAAATAACTTATTGATGCAATATATGTTTGGAGTTGGCCAAATGGAAAATGATGTAGATACTTATATTTTGTAGTAAATGGTTGTTTTATTCTATTTAACTAAGTATTCCGATCTTGGTTCATTCCCACCACTATCAATTTCAAGAATTTGCCAAATGAAAAAGATACTTTTAGAGATCTTGGGTTATCCGACAATCTCTAGCTTGACCCCATGACTTCTTTCAGTTTTCCCATATACATATATTTTTGCATGTATAAGAAGGCACTTTTCCACCCCAGCTGGGAGAAATGGAAATTCTTTGACTAATTAAGCCAAAGAATTGCATTGCAAGAGAGTGAAAGAGGCGCCATAGCTGGAAGGCAAGACATAACATCGAGGCGACTCTGAAGGTTCATCAAGACCAGTTACAGTTATGGCCAGAGTCTTTTGCGGCAAATGCAATTAATTTAAATCAATTGATTCGTTTGAGGACAATTTAATTGTATGCAGACAACAACGACAACGACAACGACAACTCCCAGTGCAAGCGAAGATGCAAAAGCATCAAAAGATGAAATCGATTGTCGAGATGATTTGTCAGAAGTCTGTAATTGCCTTTAATTGAATCGAATTGAGTTTGAGGTGCATATGACAACATTAAAGGCGACGCAGAGTCGCCCCACAAAATATATATACAAATATATCTGAAGAAAATACCCGCATTCCCTCCACCGATTCCCAATCCCATTTCCATTCCCATTCTGTCCTCCAATTGAATTGTGCACTTAAATTACAAGTCCCTCGTCTCGTGCTCGTTCATCGAGTGAATTTATCAAAATTATATGCAATTTAAAGATTCTTTTTCACAATTTGAGTTCGATGAGTAGGCTTTTGATACTGATTCTCAATTTTTGAATTTCGATTTCGATTGCAGCTCGGTCCTGCAGCCGCGGGCAGAGGAATGTTTTGCTACCAATGTCCACCTGCCCTTCATCCCTGCGGACCCCATCCGCCGCGCCTGCCGACTCTCGACTATCCCTTTGCCGCCACCCATCCATGTGAGTATGAAACAATAACTGAAATATATAGTAATTAAATAGTAATATACAATAATATACAATAGACTTTGAAACCCTCAGAGGCATAGCACTCTCTTAATAAATATAAAACAAGAGAGTCAGGCATCGGTATCTAGGATTTGCTGAAAATATCAATATGGTATCAATATTAAACGCAAAGGTCTTTAGATAAATAGATATTTTAACGTTACGATAGATCAAAAAATATATACAAATTGTATATTCCTGATTTCAATTAAGAACAGCTTTGCATATGTTACTCTTCCTCTCTGACTAAGGAAAAATAACTTTTCGAATGATTTCAACAGCTGATATTTGCATCCATTATTAACCAACCACCCTTGAATGTAATAAAATAAATATATATAGACATCATCTGTTGGAACAGATGGAAATTCAACTGGCAAAAGTACAATCTTTGCCCTCGCATCGAATTAAATTTTAGATAAAAAGCCAATGATAATCGCTGCTGCCTGGCTGCTGTTGTCAATGGATTATTGTCTATATCGGTGTATCTCTGTATCTTTGTAGTTACATTAACGAATTATTCTATTAGCAGCACGTTGAAGGCTGCAAGGGTGGTGGGAAAATAAGTAAGGGTCTGCTGTGCGTTTGTGGCATATCAGATTTCATGGTTGCACATGTCGAGAGTTTGCCACTCCGGTCAGAGGGTAAGTGCCCAGGCATGGTTAGGGTTTATACAAAAGAAAATTAGCAACAAATAATATATGTACGTAGAACTTTCGGAAAATATATTATTATATATTTATAAATTAAAACCTTAACCAGCATTTCGTTCTGTCTTGTGATTTCCTATGTGTCTTTCCCATCCTTTCTCCATTGGAAAACCCCTTCCATCATAGACCCCTCCAGTTCCCAAATAAACTTGGCCTGGCACTCCAGAGTTGGCCATATAACTATAATTGAATAAAACGAAAAAACAGGAACCACTCTCAATCGATATTCCCGAGTGCAGAAGAGGGATTTTTCTGGATATTTTTCTCTCTCCTCTTATTTTTTGTAATTTTTTTTGGGGGAGCCAAAGGAGTGGCCGTAAAGGCAAAGCTCAAGCAAACGTGAACGTGTCGGAAAGTGAAGCTATATCCATTCGAATTCGAATTGGAATTGGAATTGGCATCCAGGAGGAAGGTTGGAAGGGGAATTTTGGATTTCATATTATGCAATTATCGAATGGCAAAGCGTTAATGCTTTGCCATGCAAATTTTCCTTCGTCGTTTCGGAATGCGGCGACAGATTTCGAGTCGAGTTTGAGTCGAGTTGAGTGCCTCGGCATTTATCGAAAATCATAAATCAAAGCTGCCGTCAGCGGCCTGGAAATAGTGAATAGTTTATTGATTTTTTTCCCCCTTTTTATTTTAGCCATAAAAGGCACCGCCAAAAATCAGAGATAGAGAGATAGATCCAGTTTTTGCCTGCAAATTGCAGTGCATTTTTGGTGTTTTCTGTCTTCAAGGGAATGTGTGTACTCTCCAAAGTGAGTGTGTTTATGCTGTGTGTAATGGGATTAGATGGGGACTTACGAACGCATTACGCAACGTCTCGGCACGTAGATCCTCCACTCCTGACTACTCCTGTAATCCTAATCAGGTGCAAATTCCATTTACTCCTGACTGATTCAATATGACAGACGGAACGATAGACAGACGCTGCAATGCGATAACTTATGTTGATGCCATCGTGGAGTTGCGGTAAATTGGCCGCGGGGTCATCGGAGGTAGTCTGGGGTCACAGGTCCAAGGATCTCGGAGGTCCTTGGAAAGGGACTGCCTGTCGCTTTTGATTTGCGACAGCTTAATGTGCTCCTAATGCAATTTACAGAAAGATAATTTCAATCTCCAGGCGACAGCTTGGACTTTGTCTTTGGCTTATTTGATTCGGTTTAGTTAATAGTAAAACGGAACATTTTTAAGATGACAATTGTCAAATTTTATATCATAATATTATAATATTTTATTAATTTGACATTATTTTTGGGTCTCGTATTTTTTAAGAATTTTTATTTAAACCAATCTTTCCAATAAATAATCCTGCTTTTAGGACTAATCTCTGTATGTTCCCTGGATTTATTTAGCTTGTAATAATAACTATAAAACAAAACATAAAATAACCAAATCAAAAATATTGTTCTTTAAATGTATCAATCTTCTCCTTGTCCTTATTTATATTTTGATTTACATTTTCCTTCTGAGCAACCAATAGAGGTATTGCTTTCAAAATCAAAAATAAAAATTCCCCAGATCATTTGCATAGCTAATTCAATTTACTTGCTTGGTTTTTTTTTCCTCAAGATTCTCATTCGTGATTCCTTTACGTGATACTCGTCGTTCTCATACCCTATCTTTTTCCCCTTCCCTTTCTGATATCCCCAAGAAGCCAACCCCTATAACTGAGCTGAACTGACACCGAGAATGCCTCTCAATTGCTAAACTAATTTAAAATTTTTGCCAACGCGTGCCCAGACTTTCAAAGCTCTGAAATTGAGACGGTGACACTTTCGAAAATAACCAAAAGAAAAAAATAGAGAGAGAAATAATAAATGGCAGGCAAGGGAATTCAACCTTTTGCAGGGGGAATTCCCGGCTGGGACTCGTATCGGATTCCCGCAAAGAAACTAGGCCGAGAAACTACTTATAATGAATGCTAATTCCTTGGCTCTCAGATTAAGTAAGCGAAACTGAAATCGAATGAGAATTGATTTTTGCCCAAGAAGCGGCAGACAAAGTTGCCCCGCCATCCACATGTATCTTACGGATACACAGAGACGAATGCGAATTCAGATACATAGCTTTAGCGTGGGCGGAGCTGGGAGGTTAGTTTGGCAACGAGTTGATTGCAAGGACTCTCCTCTTCAGACGCTCGACTCGAACTGCTCCTGCGCCCAGACCGAAAATCCCTTAATGATGGTTTCGCTTGTTATGCCAAATGTTTAAAAAATTGAATTATCTCCCATTACCGGAGCAGCTAACGAGCAGACGCAGAGCTACCAGTGTTCAGTGCACTGAGAGAAATTTTGGTTTTTCAATATATACATTTTAATAAATTTATAAACTTCAAGGGTATTATAATTTCTTTCAGAACCTCATAAAGTCTCAAGTCATATATATTCTCGATCAGCATCAACTGCCAAGTCGATCTAGCCATGTCTGGTAGAAAAACATAATTTTCGAAATTTATTCCTATTTGAATATTTTATCATTAAAAAAGTTAAATTTTTTTAAATTAAATAAATATTTATTATCTTTTCTGTATTTCTATATTTTTAATGGTATTAATTTTGTTAAGAATTGATTTAGAAACCAAAAGTCAAACAAGCTGTGAATAATGAGCCATAAACTGTTACAAATTCTGATAATTTATCCAGCACATTATGACTTATACCTTAAGTCATCTTAAAACAGTCGACACAAACTGTTGGTAGATTATCTAAGAAATTGCAATAAAGTTATAATGAAACTCGCTTTAATCACTATTATTCTAAGCTTGCTTGGCCTTTGCCATGGCGACTACTGTAAGTATAATAAGATAGCAATGCTCTATATATTCACCATTAATATTTTGCTCATCTAGATGAGATGGGTTTTTGTGATCGAGTTCCCGTGTACATATGTAGAAAAAAAACAAAATCTTGCGTACATATGCGACTTTGTAAAGTTTCTGCACATAATTACTTTTCATTTTATAAAGAATGCATGACGGCGTGTGCTGAAGTGAATTCAAAAATGACTTTGGGTTCATGATTTTAATTGTAATCCTTTCGCGATTGTTAAATAAAATCTTTGGTTTTTTAATTCACTGTTTACTATTTATTACTTCTATTTTCTATTTAGCAGATGAATATTTTGAAAGTTTGTTTCCCTACCTTTTTTATTTTTGATACTATTTTTGTTCAGTGTCCAAGGAGACGCAGTGGCAGTCAGTACAAGGATATAGATGCCTGGCTCACTGACTGGGCTTGTCTGCTGCTCCTGCTCCTGCTGGGGCCCCCTTTTGCGTACTTTTTGAATCAATTTGCCAACAAGGATTTGTTAATCCTGTCTTCCTGACAAGTGCGGTTAGTTGACTTGTTGTTGCTGCTATTGCTGCCACATGACGTTTGATGTTGCTGGCCAGGGAAATGGGAAATCGTTCGGAATGGGTAAAATCCCGCATTGAACTCCTGGTACTGGTTCTGGGCAAAGCTTTCAGCATGAAATTCTTATTGCCCGGTTTTTCCAGGGGGCAGCTTTCGGCCTCGGCGCTCTGGGATTTGCACTCGAAACCTAATTGTGCTAATTGCTGCTGCCATTTCTGGCCATTCTGGCATTGGCCTGGCCTTCTTTTTGGCCAGCCCCGAGGCATTTTCCTCTACGCCCACTCTTGGCCTGGGGGCAGCACATTTCCATTTGCATTTTAGGCAATTATTGGCTGCAAAGAATTTGATTAGCAAGAAAATTGCACTGCAGTTGAGGCACCGATGAGACAGAGATGAGCTTGGGGATGAGTAAATGAGGAAAGGTCGTGATCGTGATTATCCGAAAACGAGAGCTAGAAACGGAAAATTACACATTTTCTTCAGGGTTTTCTCTATAAGTGTATTTTGTAGTTATAATAAGGAATAAATATGGGTTTTAAGGTATTCAAAATGTTTTTTTTTTCAATTAATTTTGACTAAGTTTTAAGACTTGGAGTTTAAGTAGTGGCCTCACATTGCCACCTCTAATCTTGGCACCATTTTAGCTTCCAAAAATGATGCTGAGTGCGCCATACTCGAACTAGATACTCATCGATTATTCGATTAGGCTCTGTCTCCTTCTCATCTTCCTCAGCTCTTTGAGCTCAATTTTGGTACCCAAAATGCGTGCTTCATTAGCAGGAATATCTAGTATTTACTTGTGAGAAATAGAGAGTAACGAAAGCCGAGTGGAAACATTTTCTAATTATTTTCCGTAATTAAATATTAATCGATGGCAGCACTTGCCATGACAGAGAAAAACGTAGCCAAACAACATTAGTGCGCATTACAGAGTCTCTAGGGGATTGCCAAGAGAAAGATAGAGCCACGGAGAGACAGAGATATATATAGAGAAAAGGGGTGGCTGGTGACTGGTGGGCGGTACTGGCGACTGGGACGACCTTCAGGCCGGCGCAAATGAATGGCAAAGTAACAACATTTCAGCTAATCGGATTAGAGCCCCCTCACAAAGCCCAAAAGGAAAAAAAAGGTTGACACACACACAACCAAAGGCAGACAGAGAAAAAGAGACTGCTGGCTTTGGCAAGAAGAAAATTAAAATTAAATTTTGCAATTTGCCAGCTAATTATTTATTTAAAATCAAATTGAAAATTAATTTTACAACACGAACACCAGAGAGAGAACCCAGTCCGAGGCCGGGCAAAAAAGGTCCGGCAAAAGTTTCCGCCTTTCGACTTTCGACTTTGGTTTTCCATTTTGTGATGGCGGGGGGGAAAAGAGGAGGAAAAGCGAGGAAAAGAGGATTGCCAGGCCGAGGTCAAGTGGGGCCTGTCAACGCCTTTCCCTTCCATCCCTTTCTCTCTTTCAAAAAGGCAGTTATAAAATATTTTGTAGCATACAAAATGGCGCTGCTGCTAGAAAATTCAATTAGCCAGCAATTTTTGGCAACAGCTGGCTTTCAGCAAAAGGCAAAAGTTTTGGGGCGGCACTGGAAAATGGGAAACTGCCTTGGAACTGGGAAAACAGGGAAGGTGAAAGGATCTTCTAGCTTGAATGAATTCCAAGGCAGTTACAGTTTGGGTCATCTAAAATTTAGAGAAAACTCCCCGCTTCACTGGAGATATCGAGAACTAAACAAAAAATGTGTAATGGAATTCCATCTTTATATCTATAAATAATAAAGCAGAGAAGTTAAGGGTTGGCGGAAGTTTAGAATTATGTAAAGTATCCTGAAAGGTAGTATTAAAAGTATCAAGTTACTTTGTTTTTAGGTGGTAACAAATGGTTTTCATGTTCTAGGGATGTGTATAGCAATATCTTATCAAAAATATAGTAAAGAAATAAAAATAATATATAATAAATGTATTTAATTTGTATACACTTGAAGGGACTATAATTTTATTCAGGAGCTTACAAAGCTGTGAAGGAATCATTTCCGACCCAATAAATCATATATATTCTTGATCAGCATTAACAGCCGAATCGATTTAGCTATGTCCAAACAAAATTAAATTTTTTCAAAATTTTGAAAATTTTATAAGGGGTTACATCATTAAAATTTAAAAAAATTGGCAAAAATTTGAATTGTTTTAATTTTAATATTTGGTATGCTTATTTATAAACCTAATAAAAACTAACATAGGAACGCTTTCCGAATTAAAATTGAGGCGTTTTTGACTTAGTTATGAGTATTTTAAGCTTTGATACATTGAAAAATTTGTCATATAAAATTACCAATAATTATCGATTGGTTATAATAAATTTCCAATTTAATACTATATTAAATTGCAAACTGTTAAGGTACATAAATTTCAGGTTCCCGAAGTTAGTTTCCTTTCGTGTTATTTTTCATAGGTAGCTTTCTAGCTAAACAGGAAAATCTTGAATCTTGAAATCTTTTCTGCTGCTTCAATCTTTATATATTTTCCTGTGCAATACCAGTCCCTAACTATTTTAATCCCCAACTATTTAATTAATGGCTGGCGTCGCCATAGAAGACATTTATCCGCAGCTTAGTGGCACTTATGCCCTTGCACCTTTCTCGGTTGCAACTAGAGTTAAAATTAAGGCGCTAATGCAACACCAAACACTGGCTCACACTCCTTTCGATCTCGATTCCCCTTAGATACCAGCTACTCGTATCATCCTGCCATCCACGATGAGACCTTCGTCCGGCGAAAGCAGCGACGGAATCGCACCACCTTCACATTGCAACAGGTAAGTTGGAAAGAAGTGCTGGGAAATTGTGTTTAATTTTTAATTTCGGCAGCTGGAGGAGCTGGAAACGGCCTTTGCCCAAACTCACTATCCGGATGTATTTACACGCGAGGATCTGGCCATGAAAATCAACCTGACCGAGGCACGGGTTCAGGTAAGCAAAATAACACTTTCTCTACCAAGAAATTATGCAAACTAAGCAAGAGAGAGTTGTTGAAACAAAACTGGAGAAATATTTGAAATTCAGCCAAGAAGTTGAGGAAATCGTATCAAATTTCATAAAAGTATATATAGAGGAGTGTAGGACAGACAGACACAACCCTAGACCGGTCACGCAGTCTGATCAAAGCCCTCAGTTTTTCTCGATTAATAATGCATATGCATGGTGAACAGGCTCGAGGACCCGGGGATTCACAGGATTACCCAAAAACGGGTTCTCGGGGTGGCAGGCGGCCTAATGCAATAACAGCCTTTAAAAATATATTTTCTATATACATTTTCAATGACGTTGGGGCCCAACCGAATATAAAAAACACAAGGCAGCCAAATATGCAAAGTTCTTGAGCGTTAACAGGGAAAAATATGAAAAATGAAAAGAAAGTAAGGAAAAGTGAAAGGAGCTGCTCCGAAAATTGTTCTCCTCTGTTTGTTATAAAGCTTCGAAACCTCCCTCCAAAGAAATCAAATTTAATTTTCAATATAAAAGAGAAGGGAGAAGAAAGCCCAGGGGCTCAGAATATTTATAGCAAACAATATGGGTTTTTTAGGAAACTAGTAAAAAGTCAAAGAATATAAGTGCATTTGGGGTATATTAAAAAAATATATGATATAAACTTTAAACTGTTGAAACTGTTTCTGATAAATAAATATGTTTAAAAACAAAATGGTCACAAAGTTTAGTATTTAAAAAATAATTTCTTTAAGAAAATAATACACTGAATAAACATGTAATACCTAAACACCCGTAACCTTAATTAAAATTTAATCTACCCCCATTTACCTACATTTCCATTCCATTTTCGTATTATTTAACGATTAACGTCACACAGATCGCAATTATTTCTGACAATTGTGGCCAAAATTAGACTTAGATTAGAATTTATGACCTCGCTGTGATTTTGCTATGCAAATTGAGTGATGGAACAGATTGTTTAGTGCCAAAAGCAGAAGAGGTAAGTGTATGGAATTGCAGCTACATTTGTCAGATTAGTGCACGGCAAGCTGACAATTAGCGGATAGCACTTCCTTTCACACACACGTAGATACAGTTACAGATGCAGATACAGATACAGATACATGTTAGAAAAGATTATTCCGGAGATCTTGAGGTGGGCGAATTTCCATCTCCGGCACTCGAGCACGTCGCAAGTACCTAAGGCCGAAAGCAAATTATGCAATGAAACTGGGCAACTTAATGAGGATGCTGCACTAACTAGACACGTTTCGCAAGTATCCGAGAGATACTGCAAGCCCACGCACACTTTGGTGGCCATTAAAACACTTTGGTGGCGACTTTCCATTGCGCGACATCCTCTCCATTTTTCTATTTCCGGCACAATTAGCAAGCCGAGGCGCCTTTGCATTTTCACGGCGGCAGCTTCCAAGCATTTTCCATGCTTTTCCAACCTTGCGAGCATATTTTTCCCAGGCGTAACCAGATACTTTCAATTCAATTTGTCATAAAAAAAATTCAGCTAGCAATTTGATATTTGTATCCCGAGTTAAATATTTGTCAAGTGTCCAAGTTTTACGAGAGTGGGACACTTGTCGCAAACACGTGTACTTGTCAGGCGAAACAAAGTTATTGCAAGTTAATAAGAAAAGCCACCCCCATTTTCTTTTTTGTTTCTCTTCTCTCTCTTATTTATTTTTTTTTTTTGTACTTTCCATGAACCTGTCAGATATTACCAACTTTTGCTGGTCCGAGTTTGCAGCGTCCAGAGTTCTTTAACAAAATTGTGGATGGCCACGAAAAAAAATTGTGTGAAAAAACTGGGGGAAAAAGCGAAAAAACATTTCGAATGGACAGACAGCTTAGTCTGGGATTTCGATAATGGAATGAATGCCAAATATTTTGATGAGGGTGAGCTCGGCTCTGACTCCTCCCACTCCTCATCCTTCGCGCTTTTCCAACCGCATTTTGACACATTCTCTTTCGACTTCGTCCAACGGATGCGGATGCGGAAATAAATTTTATAATAAAATTTATTATGTCTACTACCGGCTCTCCCAGGCATCCCCCTGACTCCTGTTTAGCCGCTCACTTGCCTGTAACCTGATACGTTATCCACGGGATTTTTTCATCTGTCAATTTTTGGTCCTGGCGCCCTGTCGCAACGCATTCGAGTTCAGTGCAAAAATCATTTACTTAATGTATATCCCAAGCGAGCTTATGGCCTGGGATTCTTACAGGAGTCTCAGCTGGGATCAGGGATATATATGTAAATATATATCGGTTATTTACCTGACAAGGACGAAGCACTTTGAAGTTGCTCTCTATAATAAGCGATATTGATTGATAAATGAGTGGTAAATTTGATTTTCGATTTTGTTTTCTATCTTTTGGGGTGAATCTTTTGAGGAATTGGGGTTGGTAGCCATAGGAAAGTGATTTTCAAAAGAGATTTGCATGCCATTAAATGATTATTTGTTATTTGTTGAATATTAAATATTAGTTGGGGGGTTTTTTAAAAGCTATATTGCTCTAACTGCGACACTGAGATACTTTTATATACCTTAAATAACTAAATAAACTAAACATAGGTTATTTTTTCTTTAAGTATAATTAAATGGTATTTTTTTAAAGATCGTTTTACTAATTTATAATATAACCGGAAATTTCTTACCCTTGCAGTGAAAATAGCTCCTAACTCAGTCAAAAATGAGTTAATTTTAATTCGGAAAGCTGTTCTCTGCTAGTTTTTATTACATTAACAAATCTGCATTTTTAAATTTAAAATTTAAAAGTTTAAATTTTTCTTGAAATTTTGACAATTTTAATGAACCCCTTATAAAATTTTCGAAAATTGTTCAAAAATTTGTTTTCCTTTGGACATGGCTAGATCGATTCGGCTGTTGATGCTGATCAAGAATATATATGATTTATAGGGTCAGAAACGATTCCTTCACTGGCTAAAATGTAAATACCTTGCAAGGGAATGAATATGAAAACCTTAATAGAGGTTTGATTTACTTAATACTTTTTTCCGAGTATTTATTGGAGCTGAAGAGGTGTCATAGATTAATTTTCACCCCTATTTCACATTTAAAATATCATTTCTAACAGAATGCTATCAGGCACATGTTCATCTCTACATTAATAATAATAATATCAGCAATAAGCCCCTCTTCTATCAAAATACCAGTATTCAATTTTGCCAAAACTAAGGCGATAAATAATGAAGTTGTTAAACCCGCCGCGATTACCGCCTCTCGCATTTCCGACAACAACTACATACCTCATACATAACTAATTCGATTAGAATTAATGTCCTGGCTGCAGCATGACAATTCGAATTATTCACATTCACATTCATATCAGAAAGCATCCAATCGGAAATGTGGCACCACCCACTCGTGCCACCGCAAAAGGGCTGCTTACCGCATATAATGCCAATAATTGATAATTTATTATAATCACAGGCCCAAGCAGTGCGATGTGAGAAACTCTTTGGAGAGAAAAAACCGCAGAAGATGAGGAGGGTTAAAGGAGTTGCACTGAGAATAAAATTTAATACGTTTAATACAGAGAAAGTAATATTACGACATAAATAAAGAGCAGGCACAAAGGCAGAAGAAGTAGTAACTGTGTGCTATAATAAGTATCAAGAAGAAATCCGTAAAAATATTAACTCTAACTAAATAATTGTATAATTTTATACACAAAATTATTTTGTTTCATATTATATCATTATTATATATTATATCATTCTCAGAATTTGAAGTTTATAATTTTAAGCTTGCACAAAGGAAGACATATTTTGAAAGAAAATCTTTGCAGTATAATATTATCAAGTCAAAATATCTGAAAACCATATCCGAAAGAAAATGAATATATATTAAATATATTATATAAACAAATTATTTTATATTTTTGAGGATTTAAGAAAGTTCCAGAATTACAATTTGAGATTTTTATTTATAGAAATCATCCGGGAAGATGAAATTTTTAGATTTATCTTCGATTTCTTGCTTCGATTTTTTTTATTCTCGGTTATAATTTTCAATTCCATTATTTTCTATATTTTTCTCAAAGTGTAAAGGATTGGCTGGTTGACCGGGCAGCCTGTCAAATAATTGCATTTGCTCGAGTAATCCTTTAATGCTGATCCAAGTTGATGGCCGCCTCGAATCGAGTCGAGACCGCCTTATGGTGGCCGCAGGACATGGGCGGGGATGCCCAACCCTCCGGAAAAGGGATTGCCATAGATGATGGGAAAAGGGGTGTACCCGGGATGTGTGTGTGTGTCGGTGTGTGTGTGTTCGGTGTTGGCTGCTGCGGTAGCCCAATTATTGTTGTTGCCACTGCCAAAGGGTTCACCGTTTAGCCGGGAGCGAAATGCGTTTGATATTAACACATCTGTTCATTCATTCCACTTGAGCTGCTATGTGCTCTTTGCCTTCCTGCAAGGACCCCATGGCTAAGGTCCTTGTTCCCTTCTGCCTGGGTGTTGTTTGCACTGAGTGTTCCGGGATCGAGACAAACTGTTTGCGGAAGCTAATGGTGCGCACTTGTCCGTAATTACCCCTGCGATTCAGCGATTCTACGATTCTGGGTGGTGTTTATACTCCTTGTTTTTTTTTTTGTTTTTTTTTGTTGTGTTTGGTCCTTGTTCTCCCATTGTTTCCGCTCCTTTATTTTCCACTGTGTAATTCGCTGTGTAACAACTTCTCTGGCATTGTTTGCTTGTTTGTTTTCGTTTTCACGGCAAATCGGTTTTCGTGTAACTTGTAACCGCACAAAAATTTGTGCCTGAATAATTGTTATTATGTTTATTATTGTTCTTGGCATTGTTCTTCAGAAATTATGAAAATAAATTTCGTCGCTTTGGGCGTTTTGGCTTGAGTAAATAAATTACTTCGAGTGACTCAAAAGGGTCCTTTCCTCATGAGAGAGTGTGTTGATAAGGATTGACATGTGCTATGGGTAAATATATATATTTTTTAAGAAGGAAGGATATTTGTAGAACGTGATTACACGAATAAATATTATTAATGATGGATATAGATATTCTATTTGAATTTTATTTCCGAATTTTAAATTATTAAATTGTGAACAGTAAACTTTCTCTCAGTATATATAGATTACACCTGACTAAAGCATGCGAAGCATCTTATCAAGATTTATAGACAAATAAGTTTACTGTTGTTTACTAAACAATTAAAAAATAACCATGCTTAAGCCGCTTCTGAAATAATGTATATCAATATTTGTATGTACTTTAAGTTTGTACCTATTTTTATCGCATAAAAGACGCTGCTTAAGATTAATTCTCAACAGTCTTCTTAAGTTGCTCGCCATGCTTGCCAGAATAATATCGCTTTTGGGACTAATTTCCCTTTCGGTGGCCTACAAGTTAACACCTAACATAATTGATGGTGAGAATTGCTAATTTCTTAAATAAAAAGAAACGTTTAAACTTATTGTATTTTCCTAATTAGGAGTGCCACCATTTTTAAATGTGTCTACAGCACCATTTACCAAGATAGGTAGTGATTATTACTATATAGAATATAATAATCCAAAAAACTGGTACGCTGCCTCCGAATCGTGTCGCCAGTTGGGTGCCAGTTTAATCGCCTTCGAAAGCTTAGATGAGTGGAATTTAATCACCAGTTTTCTTAAAACCTCTGATATAAATACAAAATACTGGACATCGGGCTCTAGTTTGTCGAATGGCAAAACTCATATTTGGTTCTCCAATGGTCAGGCCCTCGATTTGGATATTTGGTTACCCGGAGAACCCAACAATGGACAGGGACAGGAGTTTTGCGATGATATGGGTCGAAATTTGGAGACCTCACAGAATTGGGGATTGAATGATAGATACTGTACAGTGGAGATTCCGTATATCTGCAAGGCACAGCGGCCACAGACAGCAGCATTTGTGGTCTGGTAAATACAGTATTTTGGGAAACAATAAAATGAAGTGAAATTAAATAAATAAAATTTAAGTTAACTAATATACTTTTTAGTCTGAATTAATGAATAAGTTATTTCCGACTCCATAAAGAATATATATTATTGATCAGCATGGATAGCCGCCGAGTCGATTAGGCACGTCCGGTAAAAAAAATGAATTTTTGAAATATTTTCAAATTTTCAAAATTTTATAAGGGGTAACATCGTTAAAATTTTCAAAAATTTTAATTTTTTAATTGAGTATGCAGATTTATTAAACTAAAAAGGAATAACATAGCACAGCTTTCCGAATTAAAATTAAAGCATTTTTGGCATAGTTATGAGCATTTGAAACTTTTACTTGTAAAAAATATACTTATAAATTAGATAAATATTAATTTATGCGAATATTTTAAGCTTTCTTACGATCGTTTCCGGTCCTATCCAAAATTCCTTATTAACCATATCATTTATTTAATGCTTTAAATCATATATCTTTTCTTAGTTCCAATTTTCCACCTTTAAGTTTCCCCCAAAAGTATGCTTTGCCCTGTGACAATTTTTGCAAGTTATAAAATGAAATATTTTATAACTTGCAAATAGGAAATAAAATAAATTAAATCTGAAATAACAAAATGGAAATTCACCAAAAGAAAACATAAAGAAGCACAAGCAGGACCCTTTAAATATTTCAGTATGTCCTTTTTGCCCCATTCCCCTCCATTTTGAAAAGTAATTCCAAGGCAAGCAAGCAATCAAGGAACTAAACCAAGCGAATTGAATAAATAAGAAACACGTTAAAATGTGTATGAGTGTCTGTGTGTTTTGGTAATAAAACAAAGCAAAATTGTGCATGAAATTATGATTGAAAGAGAGGGAGATGGCTGCACAGGACGAGAGAGAGAGAGAGAGCAAGACACACACAATTGTTTTTCATTATTCAATTTTTGTCATAAGCCAGAAGGAGAAGGAGCCACTTTTATCGTTGGCCTCTCCTTCATATATCCTTCTCTCTGCCCCCTCTATCTCTTTCTCTCTTTCGGCCACCCCTTGGGGGCACACACACACACACATACACCTACAGTGAGGAAAAAGTTTGGGCCCCAGCCATATTTTATTGGTAATGTGCTTATGGCATAAATATTGTATTAAGTAAACTGGTGGGCGTCACCACCACCATTCGGGGAAAAAACGACAAGGAAAATCGAGGGAAAGTTCAGACCTGGATGTGGTGGGTGTAGCCTTTTTGGGGGTTGGATTGTGCGCAATTTATTGTTTGGATAAAGGGAGATGGGAGCAGGAAGCTGGGAGCAGGGAGCAGGGAGCAGGGAGCAGGAAGCTCTGGGGCAACATGGCCGCCATGAAGCCAGGAAAAGGAGAATGTTGTTGCCTTTGGGCTAAAAATTGTTTTATGCTTCTCCATGCTGCTGCTGTTATGATTACAACAATTGGGAGCCAACAAATGCCAACTTTTGGCACAAATGTCTAATTTGAATTTTGATTAGGAAATTTACTTACACACACACGGAGGGAAATACACACATACTATAAGAGAGCACAAGATGGCGCCGAAAATCCCATTAGAGGGCGCTCTAAGCTCGGGGAATCAACGCAAAACCGGAAACTAAAAGCAAACGAAGGGAAAGGAAGCAACGGGAAGTAAAGGGAAAATTCGAGGGGGGAAAATATATATGTATATATAGGGGGGTAGGGGAAAAGGAAACACGCGCGCATAAGCAAGCAATCCAAAAGGATGTGTCTAAGGAATGCCAAGGCAGCCATTGTCTTGATTGAGCCTCATTAGGGCCAGGCAGCCATGTGTGTGAGTTTCCAAGTCCCCCCTTTTTGGCCCGGTTTCTCCATTTCCACACTCTTGTAACCCCCTCCCCCCTGTAAATCCCCCAATTTAGGCGCTGATTACAGGCCAAAATTTGTTTTGTCTTCCCTTTTTGGCAAAAATTGAAAATCCGATTTTGTTTGTTTATATAGATATATATGTATATATCTCTAAGATTGCCTGGAAAGACAAAAAGGAAAGCCATGGAGTATATATATTTAGATTGTTAAAGTTTGTTGAGGTGGAAAATTTCGTTTATTGTCTGGCCCTGGCAACAATTTTCCCCAACTCTCTCGCACTCCCTCTGTATCTCTCGGGGAAAGTTTTTCAATTTCCAATTGGCCGGGAGCGGGTGAGGGCAGAAAGTTGGCTCGTGGCGTAAATAATAATAGAGACATGTGGCCATATCAAGGCAATTTTCACCAAAAAAAACTTTCTCAATTTCATTCTGGCTTTCCATCATCCTTGTTCGCAGGTCTGGTTCCAGAACCGCAGGGCCAAGTGGCGCAAGGCGGAGCGGCTCAAGGATGAGCAGCGCAAGCGGGAGAATGGCGAGAGCACCAGCTCCTTGGACAAGGTGAGAAGGATATACATATATAGCAAATCATTAAAATAAAACATACTTCAATTTATTAAATTTTATTGCTCCCAGCTCCATGACTCCCGCGAATCCTCGCCTGATATCACTGGCGAGATAGACGACGACATGGATGAGCTGCCACCGCGCCAGCGTTCGCATAGTCCTCTGCTGGCCAATGGTGGATCCTTGGAGCAGCAGCAGCAACACCATCACTCACTCGCCCATTCCCATTCGCATTCCCTTTCCCACTCACGCAGTCCTGGCGGAGGTCTGCATCTGGATTCCAGCGATAATGAGCGCCCGCTGTCCTCCAATCAACTGACCACCACACCACACTCTGCCTCCCAGTCGCTGGGCTCGATTAGTGCCGGTTCTCCATCACCATCGGGTCTCCGGGATCGAGAGCGGGATCACACGCCACTCGCCAGCGGCGGAGGAGGAGGAGGTGCACAAGGTCAAAGTGGACCCCCCAGCAGCCCCTCGAATTCACGGAACACTGACTCACCCATCGAGGTGGGCGGACCCATGTCATTGACCACCGGCTCCCGGATGCCGACAACCAACTCCTCGAACAACTCGGCCTCATCCACGCCGACGCCCACCACGCCGCATGCCCAACAGTTGCCGCAGATGCCACACTCCTCGGCAGCAGCGGCGGCGGCCTTTGGAAGCCACATCTTTGGAAGCTTTGGCGGTGGTGGTGGAGGTGGTGCCAGCGACAGGTGAGTCTATTTTTATGCATAACTTGAATTAATTTAATTAAACTGTTAAAAAATATTTCGAATTCATATATACGCTTTAAAATCTCAATTCAATCCGCTTGCCATACGCCGGGTTTAGTTCACATTTAACTTTGCCAGCTAAAAGTTCTATAAAAAATAAATTCCAGAATGAAGGCTTTCATTTTTATGGCACTAATTGCTGCTCTTGTGGCCACTTCTTTGACTTTGAAAAACGGTGTGTGTTAATTTGTTTAAACTTCCTCAAAAGATCCCTGATTAAAAATTCTTTCTTTTAAAATAATTTCAAAGAAATCTGCGGTTTAACACATTTTGCTGATGGTTATAAAAAACCACTCGTATCCTGTCTGTCTCTTTTTCATTATTATACATATAATTCGACGCTTAATAAGTGCGTCATGTTCGAATTTGGAGGCTGCGGGGGCAATGCAAATCGTTTTGATTCAAAATGGAGTTGCGAACAAAAATGCCTGGAATGAAGCCAATGTTGAAATCGAAAGATGATGAATGAACTGCTTAATTAAAGCAATTAAATCAAATTATTGTATAAATACATATATACATTCAGTTGAATAATCCCAGCCACCTGTTATGTCTTTTTATTATATAGATTTTTATACTGGAGGAATTTTTTCGATAAGAATTAGGTCTTGCTCTCAGAGCCTCTTGCTAAAATAGATTAGTAAAGTCTGGTGGGTATAAAATCCTGGCAAAAAGTACTTAGATTTCATCTATGGAAGCAATAAAAATCATTTCTCTATAACAGATAGTTGGGAAGAAAAGTGTTTGTTATGAACACTGGAAAATCAAAAATAAAGCTGTATGTATCCGTTTGCTTTGTCGGTGGTGCCAGCGATAGTTAAGTCATTTCCATGCCTAATTTAAATTAATAAAATTAATTTTTTTGCTGTGCCAATATGTGTTTCGAATTCAAATATACGCTTTAAAATCTCAATTCAATCCGCTTGCCATAAATTGCACGACTCTGCCATGTTCCGGGTTTAGTTCACATTTAACTTTGCCAGCTAAAAGTTCTATAAAAAATAATTTTCAAAATGAAGCTCCTAATTTTTGTGGCCCTAATTGCTGCTCTTGTGGCCACTTCCTTGGCTATAAGAAACGGTGTGTGTTAATTTGTTTAAACTTACTCAAAAGATCCTTGATACAAAATTCTTTCTTTTAAATTAATTTTAAAGACCGCTGCAGTTTTCCACATCCTGCTGATGTTAATAAAAAACCACGCACGTCCTGTCTGGCTGCTTCTCATAATTAAAAATATGACTCGTCGGCTAATAAGTTCATCATGTTCGAATTTGGAGGCTGCGGGGGCGATGCAAATCGTTTTGATTCAAAAGAGAGTTGCGAAGAAATATGCCTGGAATGAAGCCAATGTTGAAATCGAAAGATGATGAATGAACTGCTTAATTATAGCAACTAAATCAAATTATTGTATAAATACAAATATACATTCAGTTGCAAAATCCCAGCCACCTGTTATGTCTTTTTATTAAATAGTTTTTTATACTGAAGGTATTTTCTCGATAAGAATTAGGTTCTTGCTCTCAGAGCCCCTTGCTAAAATAGATTGGTAAAGTCTGATGGGTATAAAATCCTGGCAAAAAGTACTTCGATTTCATCTATGAAAGCAATAAAAATCATTTCTCTATAACAGATAGTTGGGAAGAAAAGTGTTTGTTATGAACACTGGAAAATCAAAAATAAAGCTGTATGTTTCCGTTTGCTTTGTCGGTGGTGCCAGCGATAGTTAAGTCATTTCCATGCCTAATTTAAATTAATTAAATTAATTTTTTTTTGCTGTGCCAATATGTGTGTCGAATTCAAATATACGCTTTAAAATCTCAATTCAATCCGCTTGCCATAAATTGCACGACTCTGCCATGTTCCGGGTTTAGTTCACATTTAACTTTGCCAGCTAAAAGTTCTATAAAAAATAATTTTCAAAATGAAGCTCCTAATTTTTGTGGCCCTAACTGCTGCTCTTGTGGCCACTTCCTTGGCTTTGAAAAACGGTGTGTGTTAATTTGTATAAACCCCCTCAAAAGTTCCCTGATTAAAAATTCTTCCTTTTAAAATAATTTCAAAGAAATCTGCGGTTTACCACATTCTGCTAATGGTTATAAAGATACAGGCATAACCTGTCGGGCTCTTTTGTATGATTATACATATGATTCGTCGGCTAATAAGTGCATCATGTTCACCTATGGAGGCTGCGGGGGCAATGCAAATCGATTTATAACAAAAGAGAGTTGCGAAGAAAAATGTCTGGAATGAGGCAATTGTTGAAATCGAGAGATGATGAATGAACTGCTTAATTAAAGCAATTAAATCAAATTATTGTATAAATACATATATACATTCAGTTGAATAATCTCATTCACTTGTTATGTCTTCTTATTATATATTTTAACATACTGGAGGAATTTTCTCGATAAGAATAATGTTTTTGCTCTCAGAGCTAGAAACATTTGATAATGGTTAAGTTAGATTTTATAAAACTAAATAGAATTCAATTACTTTAATCTTGTCTGGACCTTGACACACTATCTTGCCTTACTCGAAAACCCAATTTCATGATTTCGAAACTTGTCATATTTATTTCCTAGTCTATTTAACTCGAGGTTTTAAATGCTTTCGGAAGATAAGCTTGAAATTGTAAGTCAATCCATTTGCTATAAATTACACGACACTTCTATAATCCGGGTTTAGTTTACATTTTACTTTGCCAGCTGAATGTTCTAAAAAACAATAAATTCCAGAATGAGGCTCCTAATTTTCCTGGCAATTATTGCTGCTCTTGTTGCCTCTTCCTTGGCTTTGAAAAACGGTGTGTGTGTTGATTATAGCCCTTAAAAAATCGTTGATTTAATGGAGTTATTATACAATATTAATATAGAAATCTGCGGCCAGACACATTCTCTAAATGGCAATGGTCTAGTCGCTTGTGAAGCCTTTATACCCAAGTGGAGCTATGATTCTGAGAATAAGAAGTGCATCAAATTCATTTACGGAGGCTGTGGCGGAAACGATAATAGTTTTTGGTCGCAAAAAGATTGTGAAGAAAAGTGTTTGGAATAAAATGAAATAACAAGCATGAATAACAAGCTAAAAACTAACAAGAACCTTTACCTTCTTTTTCAATCAATTGAAAACTATTTAATTTTAATAAAATGTTACATAAACAATACAAATAAATTAAATTAGTTGAAGAATCAAAACAATTTGGATAAAAATATCACCTATCGCTTCTGCCATTTATCAATAAGGATACCCAAATATATATATATATATATATATCCTGATCTACAGAGACAATGCCTCTCTAAATGATTAGACGCTGGTCACCCATTGGGAGCACGTGTCCACCATATCGATGATGGGCCAGCGTCATTAGCTGGAATCGGGGATTGGACGGAAGGAGACGAAAAAAAAATGAACTGAGGGAGCGAGAGCAGACACTGCTCTCTTAATGTTTCCGCTGGCGCACACGACATCCGCTGACCGGAAGTGCGCCAATGGAATTTAAACGTTTTCCATCCAAAACATTAAGTCGAACGCCTTCCGCTGCGCACGCCTGTTCAATAACCCGTGAGTCGGTAGGAAAATCTCTCCGAAATGAGAGAAAGGAAAATCAAGAGATAAGCACCACAGGAGTCAATGGTATAAAGAGAGCACTTGCAGAAATAATTTCCCTTGAAAATGTGGGGAAAATCTTATAGATTTTTGTTCCTTAAATAAGTAGAGATAGTTTTTTAAGAGGAAATAATTTTTTAATTCATTTTTTCACATTCTTTAAATGTTTAATAAAACTTGTTAGTAAATTTTCTTACTCAACTCGTTTGAAAACTATTAAGAATTATATTTTATATACTTTATGCAGATCCAAATATAAAAAATAGTTAAACCGCCAACAAATAATATATATACATATCACAATTGTTATATTTAATATTTAAATGGATACTTCTTACCTTATACATTATTATTAATTTCTTTGTAATATATATGGTTTTTCTTCTGTCCCCATTCACTAGCTTATTAACTGATTTCTTACATTTATTTCCCTCAGTGAAAATCGTGAAAAGCGTTGAAAAATAAAGGATCTGAGTAGTCAAGTATTGTCATTACTGCTCTCATTGCGGTCATTTTCTGGTCCCCAAATCCCCACTCCTTAAAATTATCCCCGCAATCAAGGGCTAATTTAGTCATCGTCACCAAAAGAGAATATATATATTTTTATATATAGAAAGAAAAATCAAGGGAATAAAACCGAGAGAGACGACTAGAGTGACACTGCCCACTTAGGGGTGGCATTATGTCGCAATCTCTCGCCCTGCCGGATTTGTGTAAATATTTGCTGGTGGAAATTCGCAGCCAGGGGTTGTTGTTGCTTCTCCTTTTATTTTATTTTATTTTCCTGCCAGTTGTTGATGACAAAATGCGACACTTGCCATAAATTTTATTGTTTGTTTGTCTAATTCCTTTTGTAAGTGGAAGCTTAATGACACGCAGGCAATTAGCAGATCGTTTGGGTTTATAATCGCTCGAACCTGAAGGGTGACTGGCATGGATATTCCCAGCAGTGGTTCTCAATAATTGGCTTAGAACTAAGGATATTTCACTTAACAGCTAATATTTATTCATACATTTTATATATTTTGTAAATGAAATTATTTCTCTTATATAATGGGAGCTCTGCTAGTATTTAATTGAACTTTCTGGGGATGACAAAATCATAAGGATAATGCTTTATTGTTTAATAAGGGTATTCTAATTTTAGTAAAACGTAGGTAGGTACTTTTTTAAACCTTAGAAAAATATTTATTATTTCATAACTCACCAAGTAAATGTTTATATCAACATCCATATTCTACCATATTCTTTTAGCCAAATCAAATAGAATCTTATTTTCCGGAGTCTCAAAAAAAAACCCATTGCCTTCATATATCTCATTTGTGTCTTATTTCTATCTCATAAGATATTCCGTCATTTCAAATTCATAGAGATTATTAACTCTGCTATTCCATTTGCTACTCTGATTTGAAATTCAAAAAAAGTCCTGGCCACAAGGCCATAAAAAAAAGCCAGCTACTTGAAAATTAAATTGGGCGTAAACGAGGGTGTTTTGTTTTGTCGTTTGTCGCTTCAAGGACGAGACCATATGCCGCCACTACACCACATTCAACGCTCTTTTTTAAGGACTATATATGTATATATATATTCCAGTGGGCGGTCTCATCATCGTCAGCCGGCAAAGAGGCCATGGGAGGGCAAGGATAAAGGGACTCGGGGCTCACATGTCAACGCGCCGGGACAACACACACATTACACCACAATAATATAGAACAACGACAAAAAAAGGACCGGCAATCCGGCAGAGCATAATGGCAGGGAATCGGAATCGCAATCAGAATCGGATTCGGATTTGGAATCAGGTCCAAGGAGCCAGGGATTCGAACTGGGATGACATCCCACTGGGCACCGGGGCACGCGTTTGCTTTTGCTGAATCATGGCCCTGGAAGCCCCGCTGTTTGCTGTTGTAACGGTTGACCAAATCAATTGCAAATTTCAAGCACTCAGAAATTGTGTGTGTGTGTGTGTGTGTGTGACAAACCCAACCCTCCCTCCATCCCTCCCTTTTGTGAGATATTGTTATTCAAATTCCCCCAGAACGGATGTCCTTGGTAGCATCTTGATCTGAACTGAAGCGTTTCATCGCAAGCATTTATCATCGCATTAGTCAGGCACTCACAGAAAAGAGCAAAGATATATCAGTTTTTTTCTTGTCCTTCATCTTTCTTACATATTTCATGCAAAATAAATAAATAATTATTGAGCACTGAATTCGCACTTGTGATGCAAGAGGAGCGGCGCTCCTTCAGAGAAACGAGTTTCAAGTTTCGAGGCCAAATTATACGAATTATGCAACGAAACCCGAAAGCAGTTAAGTGAAGTTTTTATTAAAAGGTCAATACTTAAAATGTGGAGAGCAAAAAAAATGCAAAATACTTATAAAGCAAGACATTTTGTGAGTTAAAAAAATCATGTATTCAAGAAATATTTTAAATTTTAAACAGAAACAAACTATAATTTTCTTTAGCTTCAATTTTAAATTAAAATAAAGAGAAGTCTATTTAAAATATTTCCTAGAAAATATACTTATAAAATTTGCTAATAACAAACCTTTAGATACATATCTTTCCCGAATAATTACCTAAAACATTTCAAAAAAAATCAAATCCCAAAACTCCGCCACTCGCAACAACTAAAACCCATAATCATTCGCTGGAATAACTTTGCAGTTCAAAAATGTTAATTGAATACCCGTCGGCGGGCCCCAAAATCCCCCTGGTACCTGGCCTGCCCCTGGATACAGATACAGATACAGATACAGATACTTTATGCGCAAATAACTAAATATGTATGCCCCGAAAATACCTGAACATAAGCAGCACCCACTTATGTATACACCGGTAATCAGGTGTGCAACTCTCTATCTCACTCTCGCCCACGAATGCGAAATGCTTGAATAATAAATTAAGCAAATATTTTAATATTCATCATGCAATTAAAATAAGCTGCCTCCGCGCATTTTCCCCGCCCAACCACTACGCCCGGACTAACTTTTCGGGCGGCAGCCTTAATATGATAAGCATTATGCGGAGGAGTACGAGGGAAGCCAGAAAAGTTTCCCAGTTTCGTGGAAAAAAAATATATATATACGTTTTGCGGAAATTAAGTTTGACTTGTGTGTGTGTGTAGGCCAAGAGAGAGCTTAGCCTGTGTAGGTGTTGATTGCTCGAGTTTAATTTGCTAGAATTGCGTAAAGCATTAAAATGTTTGCCCGACTAATTACCAGAACCCAGAAAACGAGGCAAAAAGGATTGACTTTAGCAGCCTTTCCCTGTGCATGTCACGCGTTCGGGAAAAACTTTATCCTTACGCTAAATGCAATCTGCGAAAAGTGCGAAAATTTTAAGAAAAACTTTTGCGGCAAAAACTCAAGGTGGAGCCGCCCCCCTGAAAAAGACTTCAAGAATCCAAGATTGACATTGACTGACTGACTGAGAGATATACATAAGACACACTCACATTTTCTTACTCTTCAGACAGAGATTCTGGCAGGCAGCCTAAAGGAAAAGTTATGTACTAACTAACGAGCTCAACGACAACACTCGAGCTTGTGAATGTCTTAATTAGAGAGAGTGAGGAATGAAGGGGCAGAGAGGGGGCGGAGAAGGGGGTCTATGAGTATAGCAATTAAGGCGGCGACAGTCGAGTGGGCGTGTGGGACATCACAACGCCTCTGGTTGTCAGTCTTTAAAGCACGCGGAAAATAAATTTCTACTTGTTTCCTTAAATATTAAATAATAGTATTTGAATTTTATTTTCATTATTTATGTATTGTATTGTATAAAAATGTATTTATTTTATAAAACACCGTTATACATCAAATAAAATATCGATTTAAAGAATACTTTAACCTTACTTATGATTGATTTCCAAATCGATTCTGTAATTCAATTGCCAGCTGTAAGGGTATATAAACATTAGGTTTACCAAGGTTTTTTTCCCTCTGATTTTACTTCACTTAAAAGAAAATAAATTATATATTTTAGAAAACAATTTCTTAAATATTTAACTTCCCGACTCCCCAATTTTCCCAGTGCTGCGAATGTCGCCCATAGCAATCATCACATTTTTCGCCAGTCCCCAAAACACGAGCGAAAGGGAAGCCTTTGCTGGCGAAAAGAGATGAAGCTAGAGAGGGAGAAAGAGAGGGGTATATGAGTGAGAAAGAGTAAGAGATAGCGATAGAGATAGAGACAGAGAGGGGACCCTGTACGCAGCAGCCCCAAGCTGTAGAGACTCGGGTCCGAGGCATCTCCATCTGTTGGATGTGCACATGCAAAATTTAATTACGACCAAAGGATGAGTGCTTAATTATACGCAAACATTTAAGTTTACTGCTTTTTTCGTAACTAGAGAAGAGGGGGGGATAGGGTGGGGTTCGTCTGCGCCCCAGTGTTTGCCTTCGTTGTTGTTGTTTGAGTTTTCTCATCTCGTTTTTCCCGCTTGGACTTTTGCTTTTTTGGCTCTAAGCTTAATTAGGGGCCAGGAGCGAGTAGTATGTATATGTGGATGTTGAGCTTTTTCACTTTAAACTGTGAGAGAGAACTGAAATATTAGTAAATATATTTCTAAAATAATATTAGAAGGGGTTGAGAAAGGGGATTTCTAAAATATATTCCTTAATTAAGACAGACTGCTAAATAGAATTTTAGATTGTTCCCTAACTATGATAGACTGTAAAATTGACTTTTAAATGGTCAAGGATAAGTAGTTATTAATATCAGCATGATTTATTTATATTATTTTAAATGCTTAAAATTAAATTTAAGCCAAATTAATTATTTTTGATTTAACAAACAATATTAACAAACATAATCTGGATTTATCCGTCAAAAATGCAATTATTACACAATATACAAATTTATAAGCATTTTAAAATAATTTTTATGAATAAAAAACAAATTTAATTCTTAATCTTAATTTAAAAAAATCCCCATAAAAAACTAAGCAACTGTGGCATTAAAAATTCCATTTGAAGCGGCCAAAAACGCTTTGCATTTTCCAACTACCGACAAAGAAAAAAGAATCAAAACGAGACCAGTGAAAGCGAGAAAACCTCGGAAAAATCACGGCAAATTGTGGGTGGCAAAGAGCTTAGGAAAACGTTAGAGGGAAAAACTGGAATGGAACTGGGGAAATGATTTTGGAATAAAAAGTGAAACGCGAGGAGAATTAAAAGCGACAGCGGCCGCGACGTTTGTGGTCCTGTGGTCGCCATTCTCGAGGTCCTTCTGTCGCGTTTTTCCCACCCAATTTCCCCTCCCGAATTTCCCAACTCGATTAGCATTTTCGGCAAAGCCTGGGATTTGATGTTATGACCACAGCAACCCTCACTTTCCTTCAAAATTATAAATTTTAGACACATTTCACCAGATAGCCGGGGGGCCTAATGTAAATTTGAACAAATGGAAATTGTATTTTTGGCTCAAATTTGTTTTTTTTCGCACTCGTGTTGATTAAACGCAATTATTTCTAATAAAAAAATATAAAGTATAGAACAAAATATTCCATAATTCTATTAATGGGGATTATACTCATATACACATAGGCGATCATAGGAATTTATTAATTTCCACGAAATGTTGTTGGTCTCACTTATCAATTAAAATTTTTAAATTGCATTAAATGCTTTTTATTGGACGCCAAAAAGGGGGTGTATGTGTGTGAGGTTTTTTTTTTTACACTCATTGCCTTGACATGCGACTAATATTTCATTCAATTAAAAAAAGCGCTCACAAAAATGACAACTGGGTGTTGATTATTCCCTTTCCCTCTTGCTTCTGTTGCGAGCTTATACAAAATATTTAGGCTTATTAATAATAATGCAATTACGCATAAAAATGTTTTAATTTATTTCAATTAAGCGTTAATTAAGACCCCGTTTGTTTGTTGCTTTTTTCTGTGTGAGTTTTATTGCTTTTGAGTTTGTATTTTGTTTAATGTGCGCGTGGAAGTGAAAATGCAAAGCAGTTGGTGTCAGTGTGACAGCTAACCGAGGGCAGATTGAGCAGTTTGGTTAATAATTAATTATATTTTAAAATTAGAAAAACTACTGAAAGTTATAAGAATTTTGTGGCCAAGTTTGGTAGCTCTGCTCTTATAGTCTCTGAGATCTAACCTTTGATATATCGAATCATAAAAATTCGATTTTTGAATTAAAATATCAGTATTAAACATTTTAAGCGGGAATTATTGTAATTGTAATAATATTTCTTACAATATTATATATTAATTAAATAATATTTTTCAATTTATTTCCAGCAACTGCGGCTTTCGTCCCGTTCTCAGCGAACAGAGCGCCGTGGCAGCTGCGGCGGCGGCAGCGGCGGCCCAGCGCAGCGCCAATCATCCGCCGCTCTTCCTGCCGCCACACCTGGCCGCCCAGTTCAGCCATCAGCCGCTATTTCCGGGCCTCAAAGGTGGGTGCCATCAGTCAATCAATCAATCAATCTGAAATCAGTCAGAAAATCAAACCAAACCACTTTCATCTAATCAAATTAACTGCTAAGGCGGAGCAGCAGCTGCTTCGTTATACAGAAAATCGAATTGAAATCAATTTTCTAGAATATTTATTTATTTAAAATGTAAAGCTTATAAATATTGTGTACACAGGTGAACAAGTAAGTGGGGAGTACACAATTAATTAAATTAAATAAATATATATTTCTTATTTGCATTTCGAATTGATTTAAATTGCTTTAAGCTTTTGAATTGGGTTTAATTTGGTACTTAAAATTCTTAATAAAAACCATATAAATTAATCTTTTGATTATTCATGTTTTGTGTGTTTCAGGTGTTTCGCCCTTCCAGAGTTTGTGCTCTTGCTGCTCCCTTAAGCCGCCGCCGCCCCATAGCTCCTCCTCATCCTCCTCGGTGGTGGCCCCGCTGAGCATACCGGTGAGCAGCAGCTCGGCGGCCAGTTCGCCGGAATCTCCCAAGTCCTCCGGCCATGATCCGCGATCCAATTCGGTGGCCGAACTGCGCCGGAAGGCGCAGGAGCATTCCGCTGCACTGCTTCAATCGCTGCATGCAGCGGCTGCCGCGGGACTGGCCTTTCCGGGCTCCATCTGCCGCCGCTCTCCTTTGCCCATCACCATCCGGCCCTGGCGCAGCATGGGGTTAATCACAATAACAACAACACGCTGCGGATGAAGCACGAGGCCCAGGATATGACAATGAATGGCCTGGGTCCAGGATCGGGAGGTGTTTCCATGTCCAGCGGCAGCTCATCGGCGGCTCTCTTGGACCTGGCCGAATCGGCGGTGGCATATCAGCAGCAACAGCAGCAGTTGCAGTTGCAGCAACAGCAGCAGCAACATGCCACACTCTCGCCACCCACCACGCCCACCCAGCAGGCTTCGGGGGTGTGGCAGGAGCTGAGGACTCGCCAGGATCATCGTCGGGAGGTCAAGGAGCAGCAGGTTCATCCAGTGCCTTGAATGGCAATGCGACGGCGGGGGTGGCAACCAAAAGTGAATCATTTTAATTAGAGGCAAATACGTGCAATTAAAATTAAAAGAGGTCTTCATTTGGTATTTAATTTCACAGATTTATTTCCATAACAAAATTAGATTTCAAAATCAGATTTTAATGCTAATTAATTCAAGTAATTAAAGCTCTCTCAAGTGAAGAGAAAACTTCGCTTTCATCAGTTTCTTTTGGCAAAGATGAAATTTTAATTTTATTTAAGGCTTGAGAAAACTCTTTTTGTGAAACTAAATTTCTAAAATATTGCTTATTTTTTGCTTGCTGTCTATAATATTTCCAAAAAATGAATACTGGAAATCTGTGAAAATAAATATTCCAAACAAGCCTGTATAAAAAAAAAACCATTCAAAACTTAATAACTAGCCTAAACGTAAGTTTACTTTAAGTTAAACAAGTAAAATTACCATAAACAAGCAAACATATAAAAAAGAAATATTTAAAAAAGAATAAGACAGCACTTTAAACAATATATTGTATTAGAAATATAGTTAGTGAGAGAAGATAAGAGCCACGCAAAGATAACCCCTGATCTAACTGAACTTAATCAGCAAGGCAGTCGAAGACGATTCGAATGCTTAAACAATATCAATTAACACTCATATGCATATGAACAATATATACAAAAAACTAATAACAAATATATATATATATATAAATAAAAGAAATAATAAACACACAATATATATAAATATATAGAGATAGCTAACAAATATATACATATATATAGCCTAGCCTAATCACACACTGAATCGGACACTAATAACTACAGTAAGCGTCACAACCAATATGAATTAAATTTAAACAAGTTAATAAAGAAATCAATAAAGATGATCACATTAGGATAACAAAAACTGCATTTTATTTATAACATATTACGTTTTTTATTATTTAATTTTACAATTTGCAGGCCTGCTCGCATTCTTTCTTAGTGTTGAAATTATTTGAGTTTCCTTGGCAGCCATTGAAAAAGAAGTCAACGCACTCGTTCGTGTCCCGTCTATATGTATATTTCTGGAGACGACCACGGCAAGGTCCACCCGCATATCCAAACTCCTCTCCACAGATTGCTAAAATAAAAAAAAGGGGTTTATTAAATTTAAGTTCATGAAGGAAACAAAATCAATTAAAACTGGGTACAATTTTGGATTCATACATATTTATATAGCAAATTAATCATATTAATAAAGAAAGTATTCTGAAATCGTATAATATGAGCTTTTGATTTAATTTATTTTTAAACTATAGTATATTTAGATTTCTGTATATAAAAACTGAACTGATTATGATTTTAATAAAGAGATTTAATATTTATTTTATATTTTGTTTGAATACTCACGACTCTTAAGCTGGGCCAAAGCAACGCCCATCAGGCAGCAGAGAAGAGCAAAGACCGCAAAGTATTTCATATTGATTTTATATCGATTTTATATGGAGATCTCAGGTACGACGACTTACTGACCGTTTGACTGAAACAAAACTGAGCATCGATCGCAGATGCTTCGAGCGTTATATAGGCCCAAAACCGGATCCCTTATCAGCGTAACCGATGAGGGTCAAAAGCGCGATTTCTGTTTGAGCTATACATATATATGTATAAATATTTGCCTTTTTTTTGCATTTGGATCAGTGACAACAACAACAAACCTTGAAAACTATACAGAAGTTTATTTTGTTTTTAATTTCACAATTTGTATACTTTAAACCTTTTGCAAAAACAAGCAGCTGGACAGCCGGTTTGTTTGTTTGGCTCTTTGGTTTACCCAAAGTGTTTTGTTTTTATTTCTGAGTAGGTTTTTCCCGATTGTTTCAGTCCTTGCAGGCCTTTTCGCACTCAATTTGGGAGGAGAACTGATTGGAATTTCCACCGCAGCCGCCATAAATGAACTCGGAGCAGGCGTTCTTTGTGGCATCATAGGTCCAGGCCGGCATGAAAGCCATGCAAGAAGCCGTATCCTGTTCCATGCCCGCCATCGCAGGCCTTTGGCTGCACATCTCTGGTGGTGCGGGGCTTATATGCATATAGATTTCCGATTTTGTATCCCAAAATGCTTACTTACCCGGCTTGGCCGTCCCCTGGCTGGCGGAGAGTGTCAGCAGCAAGGCAATGGCAGCGGCAATTCCAAGATACTTCATTTCTTCTCCAGCAAACTCCAGTGAAACTCTGAGTATCGGTCCTTGGCCACATCATCACTTTATAGGAGAGTACATATAGATGTATAGATGGACACAAATGCCACTATTTATCTAGCACTGGTCACTGGAGTGTGACGTCTTGCAGAGAAGGAAGAAAGTTGGCTGAGATGATAAGAGCATGTGACCCAAAGCTCGGTTTGTGGAATAAATAAAAAAAATATATATAGAAAAAATACTAGACAAAAAATGATACCATTAAGATTTCATCTTTTACACCTTGCAGGGTATTTTAAATGTATTAAGAAGTTTGCAAGCAGTAAAAGATTTATTTTTGGCCCTATCAAATATATAAATAAAATAAATGAAATTAAATATAGTAAAGGGTAGTAGTAGTTAAATTAGTAATAGCTTTTTAATAATAATAATTTTTGAAGTTTTAAAATACTAAAGTTTTAAATACTAAAAATACACCAGTGCGTATACGTAATATTTTCGAACTCAGCAAAAAAATTACGTATACGCACTGGTGTATTTTTAATATTTAAAACTATTAGTATTTTAAAACTTAAATACACATCACTTCAAATACCATTAGTGTTTATAAACTTAAGAAAAAATAGTTAACCACCAAAAAGAAAAACTATTAACTATTAATTCTGTTCATGTAGCTATTAATATAATATGAAAATTTTTCTTAATAATACCCTGCAAGCTATAAAAAGACACATTCGCCTCAGCTGGACTAAGATTTTATACATAAAGACAAGCCACATGCCTTCTTTCATTATACTTATTTTAATACTGTCTGTCTAATATAATTAATCTATAAAAATTGCTAGATTAGTAGAACGTAATTTAGAATAAAGACTAGCTAGGGAAAATGCGTGTTCTGCCTTCAAATTCGTATTTGAAATATTTGAAGTACGTTCAACACAATCACAAGTTGAGAATAATGCAGAAGGTTAATAAAGTTTATATTTAATATTTTTATACACCTGCAGGAATTATAATTTTAGTCAGAAGTTTGCAACGTATTAAAGGCATATATACCATATTAAGTGAATACATTTTTTATTAGACGAATACAATGCAAACTATGAGCTTAAAACATTAAACATGTATCGGATAATATTGTTATGGCAGTGAATAGCTTTCTCCCCCTCTCTCTCTCTCCTCTCTCTCACTCTACCTCAATATTTTCGGTATGTCCATCCCTCTTTGTGTATCTCAAGAGTTACCTCTTGCTCTCTATCTCTCTCTCTCTCTCTCTATGTATCTCTAGTGAAAGCGCTTTCTCTCTCGCTCTCACTCTGTGCTCCTTACTCGGAGACTATAAATACGGACACTGCTGTCGCTCTGACCTCATTCTGTCCGCGGCCTCCCCACTGTTTACATCTGTGGTGATAGTGATTACCCTTTGACACCTTAAATATCACCTGTCCAATGGAATATATCTGGATAAACAGGAAGAAGCTCAAGCTTTGACTTCGGTAAGTCTTGACCATGGCAATTAAATTTGTCTAGATTTTTATATGCATTTATTTATTTGTATAAAATGTTCTTTTTCACAATATTTGTCTTTTATTCCAAACACTGCTTTTCACAATTTTCTTTTGAATCAAAACGATTGTCATTTCCTCCGCAGCCGCCGTAGATAAATTCGATGCACTCTCTATTATTGAAATCATATGTCCAGCTGGGTATATAGGCTTCACAGGAGATTCTACCATCACCATTACGAGAATGAGGAAGACCGCAGAGTGCTAGAAAATACAACATTTATGCAATGATAGAAAATACATCAATTAAATTAAAAACCTACGATTTTTAAAGCCCAAGAATTGCCAAAAAGCAGCAACTATAGCCAGAAAAATCAGCAGCTTCATTGCGATAATTTCAATTTTTTAGAACTTTCAGCTGTCAGAGTTAAGAGCAAACTGATGCTAGAACACTCACTGTCATGCGGCTTATAATAAATGAAGTTCTGAGCTTATCGGCATGACCTTGGTGTTGAATTTGAATAGTAAATCGATTGTAAATACGGCTGGGGAATCTCCACAAAAAATCGCACCGATTGGTGTAAATATTTATGCCAGTTTGCTGCAAATAAAGCTATTTATTTACCTTTACCGACTTGTGTTTCCTTTGGCTTTGAGTTCCCAGAACTCATACTTATTGTTTGTACGCGCCGGGAAAGCCCCTTGTTGTACTATTATGAAGATTATTAAATAGCAGAAACAATGGGCACACGACCAGAAAAGTGTTGAAATTGTATTTTGATGTCGTTAATGATATTGAAAGGGAAACAACCCGCACTAATTACTCAAAGCGTGACACAATTGCTTTACAAAATAAACAATTCACTTGCCATATTTATGAATCACAAAAAGCATCATTACAGTCTCACGATTTTGGTATTCTCTCCTCCCATTAAATCATTTGAAATGGCTCACAAATTAATTAATTACAACCTGCTGAAACTATAAATTTAATTCCAATCACATTTCCTTAAAATTTCAGTTCTGAGGTAAAATAAATAATTGTTTTAGTTTTATAGTGGCAGTAAAAAGCTGACGGAAAATGGCAGTAAAAGTTTTATTATCATTACAAAAAAATGAAAAACAACCACGCACTCATCTTATTTGCTGGGAGTATTTTATTATAAAATATTATTTTCAAAAAGGTTTCACATATGTATATCGAAGATCGGTCCATTTATTCCTTGCACTTGGCTTCGCATTCCTCCAAGGATACGAATCTGTTCTCATTGCCACCGCAGCCGCCGTAATGAAGCTCTGGCAGGAATTACTATCGGGATGGTAGCTGTGTCTTGGCATAAAAGCACCACACTTAATAAGACCATTTCCATCGGCAGCTGGCGGCAGACCACAGACAGCTAATGGAGATTAAATTGCATTAGAATTTAATTTTATTCACTTTCTGGTATTCTACTCACGATCCTTGAGGCCGAAGGCAACTCCCAGGAGAGCAAAGACCACCACACAGACAAGAGCAATGAATTTCATTTTGATTTAGTTTCTTTTTTTTTTTTTAAACACTATAGATATTCCTACAGCTGCCGTGGAACGACTAATGCTGATCAGAAAAATAACACTGGATTATATACGGCTAACCTGCCGTTGGGAAGTACAAGTCGCCCTCGTCTCCCGGAGCTTATCTATGTTTTCATGAACCCACAGTTCATTAACAAGTGCTCGTGAAATTGGTAAATAAATAGAGGAGACGATTTCGCATTTATGTACTCGAGACGAGGTGGTGGGGATGACAAACAAACCTATATACTACGTAGAACGTACTAAATTAAATCACTCTGGCTTGTTTTGGTGATTAATTTAAAGGTGGGATTTGGCGATTTTCCAGTATTTTAATTATCATTCTGATTTGATTATTAAAGTGAAAACAAGGTTTTCCAGATAGGTTTCAATGCAGTAGTAATATTAAAAACAAAAAAAGTATTGCTCTCAATAAATATTAAAAATACCATAAGGTTTATTGAAAGCAATTTTGAAAAGATACCAATTTAAATTATAAAATAAATGATTATATTATTTATAATGATTTCTTCAACGCTTTATAAACTACGGACTAAAATTATAATACTCAGCGAGGGTATACAAAATAATATATATTGACACTTAAAAATGTCGTACACTATCGAATTTTTTAGATATCGAATTTAAAGTTTAAATATTGCAAAATAGCAAAACAGTTATTTAATTTAATTGTGCCCATAATATTGATCCGACATATTAAGCAGAAGATCGATTCCTATATTCCTATTTTTAAATAATGAATAAATTATTTTTGTATAATGTATTTTATAGAATTTATTTAAAATTATAAACAGTAAGTATACGGAACCATCAATAGTTTGAAATAATATAATATGCTTGCTTTTCCTCAAATTAATATAAGAACAAATAAAAAATTGTAATCAATTAATTGTAAATTGAAACATATATATCTAAACCACTTTTATTCTTAAATTAAATCATTTATATAACATTAAGAAACAAAAGCTTCGAGTAATTCTTGCTTTTCCACTTTATTTTAAATTTATTCATACAAACAACTCTTAATTCTAACATGTTTGTCGCAGTTTTGATCACAAATAATCCTCTAGAGTACATACTAATTAAAATATTAATATTATTAAGCCTTAGTGCTCGTTTCGGTGGTCACATCCGAAGGCTGCTCTGTGGTGGTAATGGTGGAGTCCACTGATCTGCCCAGACAGGCCTGTTCGCACTGCTCCTTGGACTCGAAGTTGTTCTTGTTGCCGGCACAGCCGCCATAGACGAACTCCTCGCAGGATTGGGTATCCACATTGTAGGCGTAGCGATAGAACAGGGCAAAACAGCGTCCCGTCTCCTTGGGCTGATGGCAGTCCTCCGGCACCTTGAAGTCCCCATCCGGGACCGGCACCTGTTGGGGCTTGTCAATGGCCTGATCCTCGGGCGCCTTCTCCACCACCACATCCGAGGGTGCTCCATGGGTGAGGCCAGAGAGATCCGCCAGAAGCAGGATAGTAACAATAGTAAACCAAATTTATAGCACATTTCGAACCCGTTGAATGACCAGAAGCGAATGATACCAGCTCTATGTGATGGCGCGGCTTAAATACTTCCCAATACCCACAGATTTACTCACGTACACTCACACCGGGTTTTTACCCACTAAATTTGAGCCTCTTTTTGTATACTTTATTTATCGGAGCGATGTCGTCGTGTTTGCCCAACTGATTCGGTAAATCACGTCTCTGTGACGTTTCTGACGTCTATATTATCATCATGATCATGATCATGGCACCTGACACTGCCCAACCTTCGTTGCAGTTCAACGCACCTGTCAACCTATTCCTAAAAATGCCCCCATAAAACAAATGTCTATAAAAATCATATTCCAACTTGTTTCCGCACTGAACGAATGGATTTTAGAGAATCCCCTCACGTTTCGGACATTAACATAATTGCCATTAAAACTATTTATTTGTAATTACAATTATTTTTATTATTTTTACTTCCGCTTTGGCTTAACCATTGTTAGGTAGGTCAGTTTGTGTATAACTTTAATATTGTTTCTAAATTTGAGTAGCTTCCCTTAATTTAATTTTTTAGCTCAATATTTGAGATACAAATAAGAGGTGGTTGCCACAACGATGCTAATTTAACTAGTTATGGAATGATACTAGAGCAAGAAAACAGTTAGTAATATAGCTTAAATTTAAATTTAATATATTTAACAAACGAAATATATTTATTAAAACAAAGTAGAGAGAGTTCGTCTTTTGATAATAAATCGTCGAGCATTACACAAATTACATAACAAATATTTTCATAGATAATTACTTTTTGGGAAGGCAAGCCTCCTCGCAGGTCTGCTTGAATCCCCATCGATTGTCATTGCCCCGACATCCTCCATATTTGAATTTCTCACAGGACTTTGTATCCTTGTTGTAGTAATATCTCTCCAGATTCATGCGACAAGGTCCTATCTCCAAAGGTTGCAAGCACTTGGGATCTGTAAATGATGTTGAAACATTTAAAGGGAATACATAATAAAAGTAACAAAGACTACCCTTAGAATGAGTCAATAAATGTACACTTTTTTAAAACTAATATTAGCTTCGAAGGACCGTATATATTTGTTTCTTATTTACAATATAGTTTTATATATAATTATAGCGTAATTACCTGGCTGCAATCTCTGCGGCTTTAAGGTGGTGGTTGCAATCGTGGGTTTATTTCCTCCTGCGTTTCCTGGTTGTACCTGGGCCACGGTTTTCGGTTTATTATTATTATTATTACTATTATTGTTATTATTATTAGGCGTGGCCTGAGTAAGTTGCATAAGGCACAGCAACAGAAGGGCTGCGAGGCACAGAAACTGGGTCGTTTGCGGTGACATTTGTGGTGTGCGAGGAACCAACTAACACTGAGCGTTAATAATACCAATTGTAAACCTGAATTATGTTCTATATTCTATATTTCTATATTTTTTATTGAGCTGATAAGTTATTCTCTCTCTCTCTCAGTGCCCATCCATGTGTGAGTTTTAGAACTTAAATTGCGTATACGATACGTTGAGCGCGAGAATAATTACCTCAATATATATGCATACAAAGCAATTAGAAGACATAGAGAGAGGCTCTAGAAAGATGCCTATAGTGAGTTGGAATAATTAAACACCAGTCACAATTTTTGTCCTAGATTTTAGAATACACATACAGAAAATAATCATTATATCAAGATTTTATTGTAGTTATTTGTATATTGATTTAGTTTACCATTTTATAATTGCTTAATAGCTGCTTTTAACCTTAATTAAATTAATTCTAATTACGCTTTTGGGATCATAATCAAAATTAATGATTAATTTATAAACATTAGAAAAAATACTTGAAATAATGGTTATTTTCTTTTTTAATTTTTTTTAATTTTTAATTCATTTTTCTTTTTTTTGTTACCTCCTCACTGTCAGTTATGTAATTTATTTATTTTATATGTAAAATTAGACACAGATTTGGTCTTAATTAGATTTGTTTTATAATTATACACTTTACGATTCTACCTCAAGTTATTCACTGACAATTCTTCGAGGTGTAAGGTCCATTACTGATATGATGAACATGGTTCTATGGTTTGGATTTATTATCCTAGTTGGTCTAGTTGCAGGATTAAAAGATCGTAAGTCCCACATACCGAATTTTATTTAATTGTTTAATAATTCGTATTTTTTTTTAGCAATTTGTGAACAAGAGCCTGGTTTTGTTGGTGATTGCCGTGCCGCAATGCGAAAATATACTTATTTCGTTACGAATAATACCTGTGAACGCTATATCTATGGCGGATGTGGGGGCAACGAAAATATGTTTTCCACCACAAAAGAATGTGAGGACAGCTGCGTGGAGTAAAAATATAAACCTTATATGTATTTCACGTGAATAAAATCGATATTTTGAATACATTCAATTCCCAACTCGCTTGGACATGTTAATAAGATAAATATTTTTGATGGAAATTCTTCGAGGCTATGCGATGCATTATGTGTACAAATAAATAAATTGATAATAATATTTAAATAAATAATAGTAAGAAATAAAATGTATAGCACAGTAACAAAGTTTCCCTGTGTTACTACTACATTGAAGCATAAATAAATCCAAAATAGCATACCTTACTCCCACGAATTCCTTACTGCAACAACTTTGCATAACAAATGCCACTGTCAGGACCACGGAGACATTATTATGATTATTATCACTACGCAGGACTATGTGTGTGGGGCTCTCATTAAAATTGCATTGTGTGTGATGATGCTACATACTACAGCCATCACTGGACGGAATGGGTAAAGATCTGTAATTAGAGAGCCACATTAGGACTTCGGAATGCCCCCGGATGGCAAGTCCAAGAAATTATGTCCAGGTGTCGGGCTCATAGTGCAAATTGAATTATCGCCCAGCGATGATGATTTAACGAAGGTATGATTCCGATGCCCAGGTACTTGAGGGGACGACTATCATTCAAAGGCCGTTCGCTATTTATTCATTAGCTCAAACACACACACACGCTTGAGAGGGTCGAATATTTCGAGTTTGATTGAATGGCCAAAATGTGTTAGGTGGGTGTGTCACTGTGTTTTGCGGGGTACAATTCAGTTAACTGATTAATTTGCTTAAATAATTGAGCCCAGACGTTAATTTCCCTTGTTCTTCAGCTGCGTTTAATTATTACATTTTGTGACGGTAGTTTGGGAAAACTAACATGTAAAATCAAGTATATTCCAAACTTGGAACTTACAAACTAAAAAGTATATGGTATGAATAATATTAGTCAAAGTGTTCAAAGCAACGGTTTAGGTACAGAGACAAACCTACACATCGTCATGAACGTTGTTAATGTTCTTCAAGTTCACCTTTAGGTAAAGTAATACAAAAATAAATTAAAGTAAATTATATTATATAAATCAACAACATCAAAAAAACAAAAAAAAAAAACAGTTTTAATGTCTTCCTCAAAAATCGACTTAAAAAATGTACATATTAATAATGAAGCATAACCTCATAACTCATATTCAATTATTATTATTAAAATAATAAAATCTTTACGAATTTTTGTCTACTAATCATAAAAATTAAATCTTTAAATTGCATAAAAAATCATTCTATTAAAAGCGAAACTGAAATTGAAACTAAAATTGAAATTGAAATTGAAATCGCGGAGCACTGTTGATCTTCAATTTATACAAACACACTCGCACTTGGTACTTGATTTTAAGTATTGGCAGAGTCGAGGCTTTGTTGTTTTTGTTGTCATTGATATGCGGAACACGTTTTTTGTTGTTGCCTTTTGGCAAGTGCTTTTTACGTCACCTCCGCCAGCGTTATTTATTATGAGAGAGAGATTGCAGGGTATACTGTCACGCCGACGGGGAGTTACTCTTCTCCCGAGCAGATTAAGACACTTCCAAAGCATTCTATATTCTCCGAGATATTACACAAAATATGGCGAACATCATTTATATATCAATATATTCATATCTCTTTTATTTTTTGAAATATCCATAAATATAGAATTCGATTTCGATTGATATTGATATATCAAAATCAAAATATCACATAAAAGATATTTATATTTAGAATAATATTTCTTGGATTATATAGCTCTGATATCGTTTTATCTATAAAAAAAAATCAGACAAAATATTGACACATTATCGATGCATAGATTTTCTACTAATCCACTTGCTCTTTGACAGACGGAAATTAATTATTGATCCTTGTTTAAGTCTAAACCCCCAATTAATTGCACAAATTGCACGCTTAGAAACCCAATTTAAATAGTGCCAAATTAGCTCCAAAGAGAGCAGACAAATTTGATTAGTTAGTTAGGTAACCCGTTAGTTGTTATGGTCCAAGCTATAAGCCACAAGGCTGCTAACTTGGTCAATGTTGAATATTGGCAGAAAAACAGAAAACATAAAACGAGTATTCGAGCATTTGAAGGCATTTGTAAACACAGAAAGAGAGACAGGTCTACCGCCGGCTCAGTGAGTTGTTAACCCAAGAACGTGACGGTCGATTGATCGAGCAGGTGTAGCAGCAGGTGAATGACTAACCATTGGATTTCCCATGATGCCAGCGGCTACCAAATGGCAGTGGTTCCTGCTCCTTAGCCTTTTCCTACTGATGCTGCTACTGATCCCGCAGGAAACCGGCGCGGCCTCCAAGCGAGGTACATGTATCCCTAGATATATATCTAAGTCTAGAATTATCAGTAAATAGTGGGTTTCATTTGCAGTAAAACTATGCCTTCAGCCGACAATCAGTGGGCGGTGCTTTGGCCATGTGGAGAGCTTCGCCTACAATCCCCTCAAGCGGCACTGCGAGCCCTTCATCTACGGCGGATGTGGCGGCAACGATAATCGCTTCACCACCAAAGCCGAGTGCGAGTTTAACTGTCGTGATATTTGAAAATGTCAACGGCTTGAAAACTTATATGTATATAGTAGTACCAGGCAAAAATTGTAAAGCTTCTATGTCGTATATAAATCATATACATGAACTATAATTATTAATTATATATATTTCATGTCATTACATTTTGGTGAATTTCTTCTTTATATTGTTTGACATCAAATAAATCTTTAGGACTGCAATTAGGTTAATGTGTTCTGCCCAAGATAGCTAGATCGACTTGGCTGTCGATGCTGATCAAGAATATATATGATTTATAGGGTCGGGAATGACTCCTTTATGGCGTTACGAGCTGCTAATTAAAATACCATTGCAGAGGTATACAAATTATAAAAAAACGGAGCAACTAAATCTTTAAATATTATATATTATAATTTAAGCCTAACTTGACTTATTTAAAATCATTAAACAATAAAGTCCAAGCTTAACATGCTGTCGCAGCTGAGGGAAACACACCCTCGAGAAATGAACAACAAAGTCCTCTCATTATGTTTATATTTCATATTTTATATGTAAATATTTTCAATGCGTGGTCTCATTGGCCTTTGTCCGATTGCGACGCTTCACGTGCCGCGCATTGTTGCAGATCTTCTCACAGTCCTCCAGCTCTGGAAGTGCCTCTTGTTACTGCACCCTATATAGCGACATTTCTGCGTCTCCGGATCGTAGTATATATTCACTGTGCTGGGCATACAAATGCCATTGCTTGTGCTCGGCACCGATTGGCAGAGGTCACCTGAAAATAATCCAAAATTAAGATAAATCAATTCTTATTATAATGTACTAAAGCATCTTAAAGTTATTAATTTAAATGGAAATGGGTTTATTTCAATCACAAATTTATAAACAAGCCATTATATTTTCCTCTGAAAATATATATGTGATTGTTGACTATCTATTCAACTATAATATTATTATTATTTAAATATAGTTCAAATATTTTATAATAAACGTTTTTAGGATCTTCTTTGTAATAATGGAAAATATAGAAATCGTCATTTTGACTAAATATCTAATATAAGTACGAGTTTAATCCTATTGGTATATGAAGCATGAATATATATATAAATATAGTAAATATTAAATATTGAACATTTAATTACAATTTTAACATATAATGAAAATAATATATTAAAAAATGAGCAAAATAAAAATTATTTATAATAAATGTTGATAATTATTTTTAAAATAAATCAAAGTAAGCTATTGTAAAAGTAATCTTCTTTTATGACTTGATTTGACATTTTATTATTGAATTTATAACATACAAATGTTATAATCATCAAAATATTAATTATTAATTTTGTTAGCACTCGAAAGTAAAGCAGGCTTTTGGTAAGTTTCCCCTTATTTTCCAATTAAAATTCATTTAATACTCACGAACTGTGGCCTCCACGGGCACCTGTTTCTCCTGGATCATGGCCAAAATGACACAAAGCAATACCGTTATTCTCAGTTGACATTGGGCCGACATTTTGTTTGGAAATACTTTCGCTATTTGCAGGGGAATAAGGATCAGAATCTTTGTAGATTTGCGAACTGTTGCTCAAGTTGGTCAGCTTTGTATTGCAGCTGCGTCTTTCTCCCTGGCCCCGATGATGGCGATGGTGATGATGATGTCGTCAATCTGGTTCAGGACAATCGCAAATGCGCAGCAGCCGCTCGTCGCCATATATAGCTGAGGCAGTAACACGGAATGTGTCCGATTTCACAGTCTAGTATATGGTTGATGATCTGGCCGATCTGTTGTCTGCTTTTCTTCGAATTTAATGAGTTCTTTATACCCGCCAAAGTTCAACGGCGGTGCAAGAGCCAAAAGCCGAAAAGAAGTGATTCGTTGCAGCTGCTTGGATTTATGATGCAGATTATAGACTGTTCTCCCTTCGCTGGACTTTGTCTCTTTCGCCAGTTATTTGAAATATATATAAATATATTTAAATTATATTTTGGGGGGCCGAAAAATGAAGTCCGATGATAGCCAGAAAAGCGAGAAAAGCCAGGGAATTTGTTCACCGCACTCTTGGTAGCCACTGACTAAACGTCGAGTTGCGAACTCGACTCGAAGCCTCGAACAAAAGGAACGCTATATGTGTAATCAGGCCTCTGTCGACGATAGCTCGGCTGCTGATTCTGATTTTGCAGAGAGAACACAAGCCTGCACTGGGAACAAAAATTAAATAAATAACCAAATCCGTAAACTAATAAAATTATTATAACAAGAAACTTGAAAACAGCAGGAAATTGCCAATGTGCCATGCTCTCATAATATAGTTATCTACTATTTTGAATATTACTTGAGCTTCCTTAACGTTTCAATAATATTACACTACTTTTATTTATTTCCCCTTCTATATCTATATTAGTTAGTTCAAATATTCAAAATATAAGCTCAGTGATCGACAGATAAGACTGGAATCGATGATGATGAAGATGCTCCGCTCGGCTCTCCTTCGCCGAGATTCCGGCTAAATCTGGCGAGTGCCTGTTGCAGAAGGCCGCGGACGAAGGGAAGAGAGCTTGCATTCGTCGCGATTATAAGGCCAACGGGACGTATACGCAACGAAGAGCGAATGCTCTCAATATATACAATACATATAAATATATATATATTTGTAAATATAAACAAACGTTAAGCTAATCTCATTCACAAGATCTGCCTCAATGGCATTAAACATATATATTTTTATATATTATGTAATTAAGTATTTGAGGGTTTGATTAATCAGGCAAAGTTAATCAGTGTATAAAACTATTACAATTAAAAATGTTTGCAAAACCAACTATATATACATACAACTATAATTAATATATTGAAATATAAGTAACAACTCGACAAGGGATCATATCGACTTGTTCCCAGATCGATCCAGCTTTGTAACTAACCTATAGGACTCTAGATTTCATAGAGCACCATTCCGATTATGGCACAGTGTGGGCTAGCTTCATTGTTCAACTAAGTTAGTTTATAGTCCAGCACGTTTCGATAGTGCGACAAAAGAATAACAATTACGTCACAGGTCAACGGGGCGTATGGATGGATGGATGATTGACATGCAAACAGAGATTAAGACGAGCTCCGACGCAATTTGTTTGCCGCAGTTCGACCAGACGCCGACGCTGATCTCCCCACCGAGCCGAGTCGAGTCGAGTGTGAATAGAAACCACTCACTCCATCCATTCATTCAACATTTATTTTCTTTAGCTTATTAGTTCACATACTCCCACTTGCCACGAATACAGGTACGGACGCAGTCCGCCTGGCTACCGAAACTTTGTCCGGGGGTCAAGCGACAGGCTCCAACGGAATACTTCAGGCAGTCGAAGGAGATCGAATCGTAGTAGTAGCCCTCAATTTCGATGGTGCAAATGCCTTCAGACCTTGGCGGTTGCTTATAGCAAATAGCTAGTCATAAAATTAAAATCAGTATTATTAGTTTGTAAGAATATCCACACAGAAATAATCCTATTAAAAACAATTGTCCTTCTCTGTGATGGAATTACATAAGTTACTCACGCGGCATCCCGGAGCGCAAGCTCCTAGCATCTGTGCCTTGGTGTTGGAGGAGAATTAGTGACAACAGCACCGCCAGCACCAACATAACCGGCGGCGATGATAGCTTAGATCGTGGCATTTGGACGGACGGCGGGCAACTGAGTGAGCTAAGCAAAGGCGATCCGAGAAGCGAGCTCAAACCCCATCGCAAGCTCAGAGAGTGAAGGCGATAAGACGAGCTATAGTCATGGCAGATGAATCAAACTGGGTGATATGAAACAAATACAACAATATATACCCTACTTTACATACCATATATATTAGTTTAATATAATATATATTGTTTGGGGGTGTGGGAAAAAAACAATACCTTTAAATAACAATAATTGCACATTAAAAAGGAAAGAAAAACTACTTCGAATAATAATAAGACGCAGCAAAAAGGAAACCCCTAATAAAATAAATACAATAATTAAAAGCAATTATATCATTATTTTCTTAGAGTTCTACTTTTTATTATCCTTTTAATAAATAAAATTATAGACCTTAGGTATCTAAGTAATTCTAGAGCAGCTCGTGTAGTGTACATCCTTGCGGACGGCATTATTGAAGCCCTCTTTATACCGATACCAAATTGGGCTCTTCACTATGGCATCAGTTTTTCCTTAAAAATACTCCAAATTATGAAAAAATAAAACTAGAAATATGTACCTAAAAGACTTACCCTCATCTTTATGAGTTGTAGAAGCAGATTTGTGAGTAACTCGTCCAAAAAAGTCTTTGGTAAGCTGAAAGTAAATAAAACAATAAACAAAAGCTTAAATATCTTCATATAATATTGAATTAACAAAATATATGAACCGAAACATTAAAAGCTCCAAAGAATATTACTATTTGACAATATAGCCAACAATAAAGTGTGCCTTCGCTTTCGCTTAAGATAAGCAATAAATGTTCGTTTGCGTTGATCCCCGAAATAACGACCCCAATGACAATACACCAGCGGTGGAATCCCCTTATGGGTTATTAGCTTTTCAAGGATTTGGCCAACGAGAAAAAAGGAACAACGAGAAAAAATAAGAACATTTTTCAGGGGATGAGCATATGCGCATTATTTGTTGGGTTGAATTTTCAAGTTACCACAAAATTTGCACATAAATTGCTCTGCTAAGTAAATGCAAGGCATGCAAATCTTGGCATTTACTTTGTTGCTGCAACAAGGCTTACCTGCTGCTTGGGCGCTGCACTGCGCATATTAGCCGCCGATGAAATGGGTTTCGGCTTCAATGTCTGTAAATGATTGGGCAGCTGAGCGCCTGCTGTAGTTTTCTTCTTGGTAGCGATAGCTGGAACAGATGGGTCTCCGCCTTTGGGAGCAGCTCGTCGTATCCGCTCCAAGTCCACTTCGCGAGCTATGAGCTGGCGACTGAAGTAGGGAAGAGTGAGACCAGGATAGCCTTAATGGGAGAAATAATTTAAATAAGTTTTTTATAAAATAATGTATATATCCATATATAAGTTTTTGCATATAACTCACCAGGAAATGCACTAAGTGCATCCAAATCTGGCTCCGTTTGAAACACATAATGCCCTTCCATATTTTTCACCTGAACAAATGTCAGACCGAGATCAACCATTACATCGATGGTGTGGCGCAGGTCTTGTTGTTCCCTAAAACAAAAGGATAAATACGAGTTAAAATCAGTTGAAAGTCAGTAGAAAATACGTTGCAATAAAGCTTTACTTTGGTGACAACAACTGCACAGCCACTGAGCGCAATTGCGGCGATAGAATCCTCTTGAGCAATGGCACCGTATCGAGCACAGAACCCTGCCCTGACCCACACCAAATGCCGGGGTGGTGACACCTTTGCGCATGGCTTGAAAGATATTCCTTTGGTTGGTGCTCTTCTGTTGAAACTGAAAGAGGAAGGCAGAGGGTAAACACTTGCGGAATCTATGCAGGAGTCTCATTAATCTTGTGATTGCATTTGAGGCACATAATGGACAAGTAATTACATGGCTTGATTCTGTTGATTATGCACGGGGCATGTTTGCCTCAGCTAATGACACCCTGCATAAATCATGAGATTCTCTCAAAGGAAGGCCTCGCCTGGCCAATGAAAAGAAATAATGTTTTCTTTGCCAAAAGCTTCTTCAAACTCACCTCAAAGCCACGCGTGGGAAATGCAATTTTCGGCCATGCCAACGTTGCGAACAGCAAATGCCAAACGACAAAGCCATACTGCAGATACGGATACACACTGTAGTTTTGCTGACGCCCTATCTGATGTTGTACCGTATCCGTAAAACAGAACCATTTAAGAGCCTCGCACACTCCCGTAAAATTTGGATCGGGCATCTTCTGCTGCAAGTAGTTCTCATAAACGCCTTGGGTGAGTCTGCAAAAGGGATCAATAGACTAATGTACTAAGTGATCACTTTAAGTAACTAAAGTTTCTTACCTCTCGTAGTCCCCACTGGAGTGCACGACATCCAAAACATTGCCCACTCGTGTTGTCACCGACATATTCGTCATTGTAACCTGAACGGGCTCGTCGGCTTTGTTGCCGTCTGTTTGTAGCGTCTTTCGAGGCGTTTTATCTGTACATTACCAAAGCATTTAAGAAATCATAAAACAAGTATAAGAAAAAACAATCAAGTGTAACCTACCCGGAAAATGGCATCCCAAACCTCGAAAAGCCCCTGGTGTCGATCCTTTTGTCCCAAATTATTATTAAGCACATCCTGCAAAGTAAGGCTATGCTTTTGGGCACTGTGAGAAGAATATGGACATTAAGAGTATTTAGTATAAGTAATAATCAAAAAAATAAATGTTATTAATTACTTAAAGAACTGCATGGATGAAATACAGCTTCTAACATCATTTCCTGATTTCTCCGCCAAGGCAATCAATGAACCAAAATCCGTTTTTAACTGCTCCCTTTGGGCAATCTTCACCAATCTGTAATTTATCATTTATCAATATTATTTACATATATTATATATTTATCAATACTAATACCTTTCCGCTAAACGCGCAGCATCAATAGGCGGAAAGCTTACCACGAAGGCAACTTGTCTCAAAGGTCGCAGTGCAGGATCGTAGACATCATTGCAAATGCAAATAATTGGACGCCTTAGGACATTGTGCTCGGCCTTGGCCCCCTTGGCCTTTACCTTGTTGAAAATGCCGTCGTTGACAAATTTGACAAGATATTCGATGGATTGACGCGGAGCACCATCGATTTCATCTAAATATGATGCAAAAAATATTATTATGAAATATTATTATTTCTTAATTGTTAAATAATTTAATAATCGAAATCAAAAGACACATTTACATTTACAAACCTAATAAAACCTAATATAGGAAACCTTTTAGAAATTAAATTAACGCTTTTTTAGCTTTGTTATGAGTTTTCAAAGCTTAGGTTTGTCGAAAGAATTGTCATAAAAGACAAAAAGAGAATAATTTAGGCTTAGTTGTGGTCGATTTTTGATACGATCCTCTAATTCAATTAAAAACTGCCAGAGTATATAACTTCGGCTGCTCTAAGTTAGTTTCCCTTTTGTTTACCTATTATTTTGTCTAACCTTTTAATATAAAAACAACCAGAGTTTTTGGTATAACTTACCCAAAACAATGCAATTGGGCCGCTTATCCTGATTCAACACCGACGACATCTGCGTTCCATTCTCCAAGGCCAGCTTAAAGGCTTCGGGACTGCGATCGTCCGAGGCATTGATCTCGCGAACATTATAGCCTGCATGCCGGGCGATGGTGTGGGCCAATGTGGTCTTACCCAAGCCAGGTGGACCACAAAGCAGGGCAACCTTTTGCATGGGTCTACCCAGGACGTCTACATTTGTATTCAGAGCTTGACGGGATTTCCTTTGCCGCCAGCCCCCATTGGATTCGAACTTGCCGGTACGCTTATTAAAGCTATTGAGCTGGTTATTAGATCCTCCTCCGCCGCCACCGCCTCCAGTGCCTGCCTCCGCCTGTTCCTGTTGCTGCTTGCTGTGAAAGCCTTCCCAAATACCACTTTATCCCACATTTTTAGCCAGTAGAGCAGACTTCGATTGGTCATCTCGTCGGACAGCAGATCAATGTATTTCCTTGGCTTATACTTGTCCACCCAAAGGCGTCCAGTCTCCGTATGGTCAGTGGCCGATACCAAGGTTATATCTGTTTCTGAGGCTGGATTGAAAGCTGCACGTAGCTGAACCTGCGGGAATATAGACTTTTTAGAAACTGTTAATGTCTTCTAAGAACTTACCATTTCCCTGGCCTCCTGCCATATCTTCTCCTTGGCTTCGCCTAGCAGGCTGTCCACCACTGGCGATGCGCCCCTCACACTCAGCATATCCAGCTGACGTTGCTCGTAATCCTCGGAATGGAATCGCACATAGATGCGCTCCAAATCGCTCCGTTGAACGGCCAAAAAGGGCCAGTTGGGTATCTCGTAGGAGAGGTTACGCATCTTGAAGTCATGCAGAGCCTGCAGCCGACTCGCATCATCCTTTCGCAGAGTCTTGCTTGATTCGCGCATTTTTCGTCGCAATTCCAGGATCTTGTCAATGGCCTCGTTATCCCTTTGCTCCTCCGTCCGGGCCTTTTTCACCAGGGATCCTCGTACGATTCGTGAAAGAGATCATCGATATCACCAAAGAGATCACGTTCCAGGCGCCGCTTGTTAGCATTCTTGAGACCCACATCCTGAAGTTGTTTGGCGGCGGCATTGAGTAGCGGCTCCTGGTCGAATCCCCTGCTGGTCAGCTGAGTGTTATCCAGCTCTGTATGGCCGGCATACGCTGAAAGGGTGTGGAGCAGCCACGGCCCGCCGGCGGTCCTTTTGGCGTACCGAAAAGTCTGCGATTGACGTGGCCACCGCCGCTGCCTGCATCATCACCAGCATCCAACTGGCTCGCTCCGAAGGTAATTTGAGACAGTTGCGGCGAGCCCAGAGTGAAGTTGGAGGCATCTTTAATTCCTATGGGAGCTCGGTTTTCCTTCTGCTTTTCCGCTGCCTGCTTTGAGGTGCTCGGTCCATCGTAGGCGTCAAACTCGTGCGGCACATCGTCTAGCAGCTCCAACTCGTCTTGGTACTGCAGCTCGAATTCTTCGTTCTCGTCCGGATATTGATCCATCGTGGGAATCCTCGGAGTATCCGCCAGAAAATCAACACAATTGTAAACAATATTTCGCAAAGTGCAAAATTCCCGCCAAAAGGCGAAACACAGCTGTTGGACAGAGCTGCCACCCTTGAAACTATCGATATACATATATACATAATGTTTGCTGAAAATACGTGAATTTTTAATGGGACAACCAGACAGAAACAGACACCTTTGAATAAGAACCTGAAAAGCCATTTTTACCGCAGGTGCATACTTTTTTACTCACTCAAGACTTTTCATTACGTCGATGATTGAGGTGTAACCAGCTGCCTTTGCGGGGAAAATTCTCAGTGTGACCAGGCGCGGGCGAGGGCGAAACCCTGTAGAAATCACTCGATGTTTTTTCCCAACAATTGCTTCTAGAAAAGTCGGCATTTTTTTTAAACATTTTCACTTTGCTCGGTTCGCAGCGTGTTTCAGGGAATTAAGCATAATTAAGCGCTGAACTACAGCCAAATAGCCGCTCTGCCAGAAAAGATGGACAAGGTGAGTGTGCCGGGCGAGAGTGCGTCAAGCGCAACAAAGGGACAACGTGCAAAAATTCTTGACCCTTGCGGTTTGCTGCAGGTGAACGAACTTAAGGAGAAGGGCAACCAGGCGCTGAACGCCGAGAAGTTCGACGAGGCGGTGGCGGCGTACACAGAGGCTATCGCTCTGGACGGCAAGAACCATGTGCTGTACAGCAACCGTTCGGCAGCCCACGCCAAGGCCGGCAATTTCGAGTCGGCGCTGGAGGATGCGGAGAAGACGATCGAGCTGAATCCAACCTGGGCGAAGGGTTACTCGCGGAAGGGGGCTGCCGCCGCTGGTCTCCAGGACTTTATGAAGGCCTTCGAGGCCTACAACGAGGGTAAGTCTCCGTGAGCCATGAATCACCGCAACCTAACCTCACTTTGGCACCGTTTCGCAGGTCTCAAGTACGATCCCCAGAACGCCATTCTGCTTCAGGGTCGGCAGGACATAACTGCCTCGGTGCTCAGCTATATGCAATCGCAGGGCGATATTCCCATGGACATTGATCCGCAGCAGACGCGCACCAGGCGTGCACCGTCGCCGCCTCCCTCGAAACCAGCTGAGCCGGCCAAACCGGCCGAGCCGCGGGTGGAGGACATGACGGAGGAGGAGAAGAAAAAGTACTTTGCCAAGAAGGAGAAGGAGCTGGGCAACGCCGCCTACAAAAAGAAGGAGTTCGAAACGGCCCTCAAACACTACCACGCTGCCATTGCCCAGGATCCACGGACATTACGTTCTACAACAACATTGCCGCCGTTCACTTTGAGCGCAAGGAATACGAGGAGTGTATCAAACAGTGCGAGAAGGGCATTGAGGTGGGACGCGAAACTCGATCCGACTTCAAGCTGATAGCGAAGTCTTTTGCTCGCATTGGTAATACCTATCGCAAGCTGGAGAACTACAAGCAGGCGAAAATCTACTATGAGAAGGCCATGTCCGAGCACCGTACGCCGGAGATCAAAACCTCGTTGAGCGAGGTGGAGGCCAAGATCAAGGAGGAGGAGCGTAAGGCCTACATCAATCCGGAAAAGGCCGAGGAGGAGAAGGAGCAGGGCAACCATTTCTTTAAGAAGGGCGATTATAGCACCGCTGTGAAGCACTATTCCGAGGCAATCAAGCGCAATCCCGATGATCCCAAACTATACAGCAACCGCGCTGCCTGCTACACCAAGCTGGCTGCCTTTGATTTGGGACTGAAGGACTGCGAGACGTGCATCAAGCTTGACGAGAAGTTTATCAAGGGCTACATTCGCAAGGGCAAGATCCTGCAGGGCATGCAGCAGACCTCTAAGGCCCAGTCGGCCTACCAGAAGGCCCTTGAGCTTGATCCCAACAACGCGGAGGCCGTGGAGGGTTATCGCCAGTGCTCGATGAACTTCCAGCGCAACCCGCAGGAGGTGCTCAAGAACGCCATGTCCGACCCCGAGATCCAGCAAATCCTCAAGGACCCGGCAATGCGCATGATTCTCGAGCAGATGCAAAATGATCCCAATGCAGTTAAAGAGTGAGTACCTTCGGCCGCCTGATTATTTTATTTTTGACCCTGGCTAAGCTCTTACTCAGTGGAACACGTCTAGAAGTTTCTGTTTCAATGTTAATTTAATTTGCATTTTAAACAGTCTCATGCTTCTGGAGCTGAATAAGAAACAAAATACGCCTCTTATGTCTCTAAAAACCAATCACAGAAATGACATTTTAATTAATTATAACCTTTGTGTTTTGCAGACATTTGCAGAATCCAGCCATCGCCGACAAGATAATGAAGCTGCTGGAATCGGGCATCATTCAGATACACTAGGCACTCCACCTCCATACACACACAACCTCACACACACCCAACACACATACTAACTCACAACACACCAACCATATTGATAAAAGTGCAGGAGACAAAGGCCCAAATAATACACAATTTGAAGGCACCTCCCGCAAGCTGGTTAACAACTAAAATATCGTTTTCTAAGAGAAGGGCCACAAAATTTAATGCTATAAACGTAACTACCTTAGAGATCGCAGCGCCCAAATGCAGAAGGACGATAACTATAAATAACTTAAAACAAAAATAACAACAGAATATAACTAAAAGGAAAGTAACAAAATCATTGATAAATGTCTGCCTAATTGATTTACGCGGATGGATGGAGTAGGCTCCAGACGTCAAGGTCCTTATTTTCTTACTACAATAACTATGCTGTAGCTTAGCTCTAAAATAAGTTTTTGAATGTAAAATAAATGAGTCAAAGAATGGTATAAGCTTAGGCTTTCAATATCTTACTCATAACACCTCTAGTGTTGCACTCATGCTTGGGCAATTGTTTAATTTAAGCATTTCTGGAACTTATAATTCAACATTTTGTATTGTTAATGTATAGGAACATAACTTCAAAATACTTATGGAATATTGGGAAAGGTACGAAATGTATATTCCTTTCTGGCTAATTTTAATAATTAATATTAAATAGTATAAAAATGAATTGAAACGAAACAAGTAATTTATTATTAATATTTGTATTAGCAAAAAATAACATTTTATTTGTTTTTTATTGATCATCTCAAAAGAATACAGAAATGAAACTATAAAAATACTATATTATTGTTATCAGCAGATCTGTTCATGAATTTTACTTCCTACATGAGAATTCAACTCCATGTATCTGTAAACGTGTAAAATTGGTATCTATGTTAAATGTTAAATAACCAATTTATGCAAAACATCGATAGCGTAAAAAAGTAATCGATATTTAAGTATCCAAACATCGATGGGATCGATAGTGTTCGACGTTTTCCAGTACTACTTTGCAAGAAAATGGAAATGTGCTGATATTTGTGATTTACATCCTCTTTTTGTCGTCCAAAAGTGCCGTACGATAATGTTTTGACCCCGTTGCCGCACCACCAGGCCCCTGCGAACGCAACGCTCCACCGCAGATCCGAGAAAAGTGTAAAAACCTCGCGAGTTCGGACCTCAAGCCAATCATTTTTTTTAACCAGTGTATGGTTGCGGCCGTGTGTTGTGCGTGTGCATGTGTGCTTAGTTGAAATCGCGAAAACGAGAATAGAAAGATGTGCGCCCTCGCTGGTGGTGGTGAGCAGCAGCTATAAGCTATAGCCGCTGGTATACGTGAAATTAACACACGCGAATCGAGACGAGCGAGTAAAGTCCCGGAACCCCGAAAATCGTCAGTTTTTTTGTCCAGCTTCAGTCACCGCATCTCAGGAATTTCGTCCCACTGCAGTCCCAAAAAGCCAACAAAAGTGAGTTTTTTATTTCTCTGCCTTTTCTGCGTTTCGGGGGCGCTTGGCAACAGGCCCGCAAAGAGTCGGTGCGCGAGCGAGAGGGTGCGAGTGGGGGAGTCGGGGGCGCGAGCGAGAGAGCGATGGAGAGAGCCGGGACGCCAACGATTATTACATGCTGCCGCTACCGCTGCCGTTGCTTCTGCTGTAGTAGTGGTTACAGTTGTTGTTGGAGCAATATGTGGCCAATAGCTATTAACGGATTGGGAAGCAATTAGGCCCTAAAATAATGAGGCATCGATTTCTTGGGGAAGGCTCTCCTTCTTGACTCGGAACAGCTGTTTCCTTTTGCTTTCTAGCTCAAAATTGATATTAATTCATGAATTTTGAAGACTAACCTTTGTTTGGAGGACTTTATTAGCGGCTGGAATCGAGATGAAGGGTTTGGCAAGTTGGAATTTGATATATTGTAGGATAAATTAATTTTATAAAGTTGATATTACTAGCTTTTATTTTATGTAGGTTTCTTTGATTTAATAAAAGAGTATCGAGTAAAAAAATCATCAAAACTAAAAACCCAAAACTTTTATTTACTTTAGAAACTTTTTCCACCATAGCTAAAACCAATATTTATATGATTTATAATAGGTTACCTCGCAATCGAATTTTTAATAAATCTTCTCTATTAAATCCGTAAAAAAAACAAGTAAAACGGAAGCTGTTGAATGATATTGAACCCTTAATCCATGAATTTTTTACATATGCTAAAATAATCTCTTTCGTCTCTATTTTTTTCCCCCTCTTTAGTGCAATCCTCACCGCTGCACTATTCGACGATGCGGCCCCAGGCGCCCGGATCGCTGGTCGATCCCAATGAGGAGGAGCTGCGCCTGGCGCCATGGTACTGGGGCCGCATCTCCCGGGAGACGGCAAAGACCATACTCCACGGCAAGCCGGATGGGAGCTTCCTGGTTCGCGATGCTCTGTCCAAGAAGGGCGAATACACGCTAACCCTGATGAAGGACGGTATCGAGAAGTTAATCAAAATCTGTCACATGGATCGAAAGTACGGTTTCATCGAGACAAAGCTCTTCTCATCGGTGGTGGAGATGATAAACTACTACAAGGAGAACTCACTGAGCATGTACAACAAGTCGCTGGACATCACGCTGAGCAATCCGATAGTGCGGATCTGTGACGACGAGGAGTCGCAACCGCACGGCGATCTCAGTCTGCTGAGTAACGACTTCATTCGCACCTGCCAGCACCTGCAGTTGGCCGAGCAGAATCTCGAACAGAAGCGAAACTCCTTTAATGCCATTCGGGAGGAGCTGCAGGAGAAGAAGCTGCATCAGTGTGTATTCGGGAATGCGGAGAAGATATTCCGTAATCAGATCAAGCTTAACGAATCCTATATGAAAACGCCAGTGGATACCAAAGCACCGGAGACGCCAGAGGGAGTCGGCAGCGAGGGAGCTGGTGGTGTCCATCGGCCTCGACCTGCAGCAATAATGTTAACACTCGACTCAGTCTGATTGAGAACAGGAATCGCCTGCTGAGTCTGCTCGAGGTGCTTCAGGCCAAGATACAGGACCTCAATCATTACATGGAGACGATGAAGAAGGAGGAACTGCTGTTGGAGCGTCAGATCAATGCCAGTAAGCCGGAGTTGCAGATGCTGCAGTTGCGCAAGGACAAGTACATTGAGTGAGTATAGTTGTTGTTATGAGAGAGCGCCAAGCAATTGCTTGTTCCACTATAGACAATACCAAAGCTTTAACTATTTAATAACCGATTAAGCTATTAGCTTTGTGTCATGTTCTTAGTGGCATTTTACAGTACAGTAAATAAAGGCAATAGCCTTTATTTTCGTCGCAATGACTTCAATTTATAGAGGGAAATTAAGATGTTCATTAGCCAGAAGTGGTGTGTTTTCAATGGCATAACTTGGGTAAGGCAGGTTTGAGGTTCAGAGAAGTGCGAGGATAAGCCTCAGTTTGCATTTTCTGCCAGCGAAAAGCGAACTCGAACTTGGTTCTGGCTCATTTTATACGCTCAACCGATCGCTCATTCTGTCTAGCGTCGGCATCGATACCGATAATAATGGCCTAACATTGTTAACGGCAGACTGAGCTGCTTCACGGCCCCCTCCGTGTCGTCCTCGGTTCCAGAGCGTCTACGTGCCTGGCCAATTTACCTTTCCAACGATTTCGTTACCTATATAAAAGTTTGCCTTACCTGGGCTGAAACTTTTTAAATGCTCTGATTCTTTTCACAATAAACGGTTTATTAGATCACTAGATTTTTGTCTTACCTTCCCTATATATTCCAGCTGGAGGGCATGATAAGCTACCCCTCCAATTTATAAGGTACAAAGTTGCCTTTGGGCTAGTCTTCTTATCTGGAAGATGGGCGGTTAATCTTGATTTTTGACTCCAACATCGAAACCCTATTTATGTGTATTTGCAAACAATTAATATATATGCATACATTCGTATCAAGCCGTAGTTTGAATTGGGGTTCTAAACTCATGAAGAGTATTCTGTTTTTACATTTAATTATATTTAGATAACACAAAAGTTTTCATTCAAAGTAAAATAATAATTATCTATTATTATGATTAAATAGATAAAAGTTTTATTTTCTTGTAGGTTTATATTTCTATATTGTTACAGGTTAGGAATTAGTTTATGGGTTCTTTTCATGAATACTAGAGTCATGTACATACATTAAGTACATAAATGTCTTTATTTAAGAATTGTGGAACTACAAATTCAATTAAAATAGTTATATATATTATAAAATGTATTACAAATAATACCTTGGATATTTCTTCAATTTCTATGATCCCCTATGATCTGTCAAATCATTTGCATGGTGCTGGATGTCTTTTTCTTTTCTATTTAATTTGTGATTTGTGGTCCATCTCCCAGAACTTGTCATAATCCTTTGCAAATTCTTGGTCGGTTGAAAAGCAAATATATACATATAGTATAGTGCCTAGCAACAGGCACTTACACAGAGGGGAGTACGTCATCGTTTTTTGATGAGTTTACGCGCTTCCAAATTGGTTTCTATGGGTATTACCTAGAGTGTGGAAGAGCGCAGCGAGTGACACTTGGCGGGGAATAGAGGAAACGGCCGGGGGCCTATAGATAAGGTTAGCGCCTTGCTAAAGATAGGTTCGCTTATCAGGAATTATAAGTTTGCCGAGTGCTTAATAATTTTTTCCTTTACTTCTACCCCTGCACATACATACATATGAACTCTAGTATCTATGTGCCTCGCCTGTATGGGCTGCCTTGCTTTTTGCAAACCTTTTGCTGGTCCCCAAGGTTTGTGTATCTAAACCTACCGCGATTAGAGACGGCGGAGGGCCACCACCGTCATTTATGAGATAAATGCCAGCAAGTCTCCAAGAGTCCGTTGTATCCCACTTGACTCCTCCTTCAGAGATTAGACAAAGCTCCCTGGAGAGTCCATTCCTTTTGGCGGTTGTTAACTTTTTTGCTGCACCGTGCGCTCCAAAGATTGATGATATCACAACTGACCGACCACCGCCTTGTGGGGCTTATCGCTGCGCGCGAAGACTTAGTCACTTGGATAGCCCCTCGGACGGACATACATACATTAATGAAAGAGCAGCAGCAGAGCTCCCCCTGATCGCATGATCGCCCCGATTGCCCGAACCGATCGTGATGCGGAAACCTCCAGGTCTGGACTTTCGTAGACCGAACGGCGGCGACGGCGACAGCGGCAGTCGCATTTAGTTATCAAGGGTTCGTTTCGTCGTCAGTCGAAATTGCACACAGTTAGATGAGGCATCGATATCACGCCAAATCGAATCTAATAGCTACTTATCATCGATTACCTACCACATCTAAGTGAATTGTTGGCCAAGTCTAAAGTGACACTTACCACGGCCTTCGGAAAGAGTTCTTTGCTGAGTAAAGAGATTTATTGATTCGATTTTATATTGAATACCAATTATTATACATTTTTATGTTTCAAATGAAACATTTCAACAACTTTTAAAAGATTAGATAAGGCATCGCCCATAAGCTAAAATTAAATTGAAAACTAGATGGTCACGTACGCCACGCCTCCAGGGATAAGTTTATCAAAAAAGTTGTGAAATTGCATTAAAATGCATTACAATAAGAAGAGAAAGGAAAAGTCTTATAAAATAGTACAAAAAGTAAATCAAATTTCCAAGCATTTCGCAACAAGGTTTTAAAAATATCAATAAGAATAGCAACTAAAAACTTTAAAATATGGATTTATATATCGATATTTGGGTCTAACATTGTTGATATTTACTTTAATATAAATTTCATGCTAATGAATTCTTTGGTAAATTAAAATCAAATTATTTATTTGTGTATTTCATTTTATTTCTGCAAGAAAGTGAGATTATAGTGATTAAAAAGAAAGCCTTGCAAAAACAACTCCCTCAAGTTAATCAGCAAAGGAAGCTTACCCACAAATGTGTTCCCTTAATCATCGTGTTTTGGACAAATTTCTTATGTAATTGCCATCAAATGTATATATAAATTTATGTAAAGTTCATAACTAATACCTTGCTTAATCTTTTCATCACCTTGCAGGCGCCTGAAAGGTTTTAACCTCAAGGACGACGACCTGAAGACGATCCTTGAAATGGGCTACGACAAATGGTTGCAGCATTACGAAACGGCCTCGAATCAGCCGCACAGCAACGAATCCCTCTGGCTCCTGAGCGACGCCAAGCGCCGGGACGCGGAGGAATATCTGCGCAACGCACCCCCGGGCACCTTCCTGATCCGCGTGAGAGATCTCGGTCACTTTGCTCTCTCGATCTCCTGCGGGGACAGCGTTCATCACTGCATTATTTATGAGACGGAAAGCGGATTTGGCTTCGCTGCACCCTACAACATATATCCCTCGCTGAAGAAGCTGGTGGAGCACTACGCCAACAATTCCCTAGAGGAGCACAATGACACGCTGGCCACCACGCTGCGTTGGCCTTTTCTTTACTGGAAGCAAAATTCGGAGCAGATATTGGCGCAGCTGCAGGAGGAACGGGATTTGGAATGGTCCGAACGGGCGGTGACGCTATTGACACCGCCAATGGTGGGCAGCAGTGCACCAATTCCGACGAGTAGGTCCGGGATCATCACGACCAAGTGGATGGTATTGGAATGGGAATTGGAACGGTTATCGGGAGCCAGGACACGGATACGACGCCACCGGCCTCCATTTCGCCATCGAACTTCAGTACTTCGCAGTAGGAGCAACAATTGGAGCCGTCAACCTCAGGCCAGCTATCGTATCTCTCTAAGTCCCGCTCGCTCTAAAGCCCCCAAACTCCTCTCTCTCTATATATATTAATATATCTAGATATATCCGCGAATGTGGTCAAAATAATGGCACTACGGGGCTCTAAAGCTTACAAAATAATATTGCATGATACTAAGCCCACGCAAAAGTCAGTGATTTATCCATTTTAAATGTCAGTGTAAAGAACTTTTCGCTAGAAGCCAGTTACATATAGGCATTGCCTAAGCATAGCTGCCAAAATCAAGCAGGTTATGTTTCGATTTCACCGAAAGTGATCGTAATTACTTTAACTTGCGTTCCAATTGTGCAGTGCCATTATTTCGGTCGCAGCCGTGTGTCATCATCACTATCGAAATATATGCATATATATATATATATATATATATATGTGCTATAAGATATGTGTATGTTTGGTGTGAATACATATTTTTTGTGTGTGATGGATGGCGCTGGCAGTTTAACTGTCAACTAGCCCTCCCCGTCAAGATTCAAAAGGCTCCATAAACCGAAACGAAACGTAATCGTTAACGAGTGTAAAAAATCAGATCTGATCATGATGTTTTGATGGCTTGTTAGAAGCCTTTTTTCAAATTGAGAAAGTATAATCTTATTAATATTACAAAAGTATGATTAATTTTATAAACAATACTATATATATATATATATATCTTCTATCTATATATATATATATAATATATTTTTTGTAATACTGCATTTGGCGTGATAATTGATAATTCAAGCTATCTGTTGTTGTATCCAACTCCAGTACCACCTCCTGCAATCCTTTCTCCCCTTCCCATAATTATAATTATTGTTATCACGCTGTGCGTTGTCGAAAAGGAAGGGGGTGAGGGGGGAAAAGCGGTGGAAAAACAAAGGAGGAGTGACAGAGTGGAAGTTGTGAAGAAATTTTCTGCATTTCTTCATATACACATATGCATACATATATATTTTGTGGTGTTCATGTAAATATTCGAAAAGCGAAACAAAGGAGCAACATTGCAAAAAAGAAAAAGAAAAGAAAATAATGATAAATGTTTGCGAAATCAGGTTAAGGTTTTGATAACCGCCCCAGCCCCCTCTAATATTTGTTGTTATATTATGATTGATTTGAAGTAGTTCTAAGTGAAATTTACGTACGTTTACTCGATGTGATCAGTTGATTGTTGCTAAAATAGTAATTTCCCTTCCACACTCTATAATATATCTTTATATATATATCTATTTTTTTTTAAGAAAGCCTTAATTTCCATACATTAAACACACACACACAGACAGAAACAAAGGAAAACAAAAAATAACACACACACAGAAGAGCAGCAACAAGCAAAGCAAAAACAAAGTGCAATCGAAAATGTAATAATTAAATTTTTAACATTTGTTAATTTATACACAAGGAAAGAAACAGGAAAAAAAGACAAAAACCGTTGCCCATAAAGAACCGCTGCAATAGGCATAATTTTTGTTTGTTTTGTTTTTTACACAACTGATATTTAACATATATATCAATATATATATATATGTTTATACGTAAATAGGAAGAATGCATGTATAAACCACCTGCCAGGCGTTAGTTTTGTAAATACTCTTTCCCAAGAAAGATCACCTTTAACCAGTTTTTGTGCAATCTAGACCCTGTTTGACGGTCATTAAATGTATATTTCATATATAAATATTTATTTTATATTTAAAATATATATTTCATATGTAAATTATTTTTTTTTCGTGTTCAAAATATGTACTTTATATGTATTTTTGTTCAAAGTCGCTTGGGAAAGGGTATTTTCCGGTTGAATTTCCATTTTTCTCTTGTGCCACCTTATTGTTCTAAGCGAGTAGAAAACCATTCGAGCTTCCTGTTTGCATTCTATCCAATCGAAATCGAATCGATCACACTTACACAAAAACATTGGCGCTTCTTTCAGTTAGATTTCTTTAAACATATATTGTATGCATAATAATTATAACTCCTAATTTAATTTATTTAATTCGTAACTCTTGTGTTTCATTTTGCTTAAATTCTATGAGATTTCGGCGGATCTCGTACGTTGTAGTATTTATAAGTTTTAAATATAGTTTGTAAACGTTTCAAAAAACACAAAATGCATAAAAAAAGGAAACAACAAAAATAAGAACACAAACAAACAAGTAGAAGTAAATGATTAAATGTTTTCTAAATATGATTGATCGATATCATCAATTACGATTAATACACATGGATGTATAGATGATGATGACCTTTTTGCCATACCTAAATGTTAGAAGGAAATATTTGTGAATGTTTTCAAGCTCTCTCCGAGAAGAATTGGAAATATGAAAACAAGGGAAGGCGACGACGAAACTAAATGTGAAACGAATTGCAAATTTGTTGTATTTTTTTATATGAATATATATATATACACATATATATATAGATATTTAACCATACATACCTATATAATGTGTATGCTCTAGAATGCTATATGTTGTAGATCTTAAGCTATAATGTTGTAGATCTTTAAGCGCCAACAGCAACCACAACAAACAAGAAAACTAACAAAACTTTTTGTAGTAGTTTTTAAAGAGATGGCGGAAACGAAGAAAACATTGTACGTATTTGTATTTGTGTCTAAAAAGAATGTTCGTAAATAACACAAAACAGAAGAAAGAATAATAATAAAAACAAAACAAAAAAACTGCGGCCCGAAGTTCATGCACCAACACATCATAACAACAATAATAATAATAATACTAAATTTTTTCTGCAGCTGAGGCGAAGCTTTTCCTGGGGTCTCGTCTTTCAATGAACCCTCCTCACTGCCCTGCCCGCCGATGGCCAGCAGATCCGCTGAGCTCTGCGAAAAGCGATCCCAAAAACAAAAAAGAAGAATGGGGAATATCACGCGGTCGCCGCTGGGCCCCGTTGAAGATCGGCCACTGAGGAGCGCATGCACACCAGGAGTGACCGCTTTCCAGGCCATATTTGAAGGGAATCGCCTTAGAGCGACCTGATTATTATTATGTGACTTACTTTTCCCCTTATCCCCGATTTAAGCCAATGAATCTCTGTGGGTTCTACAACGAAGCTACAGCTCTTCTGTGTATTTCCCAAGAATGTGATGGCTCATCAAAATGGGCTAGAACGGGAAAAGGAGAAATTAATTGTCTACAGCTGCAGTTTTTAAGTTCGTTTTATCTACAAATAACTAGATATTTTCTAGCTTAATGTTATCTGCCGGGAGTACACATTATAGAAGCTATCATGTGGAGTTGGGAAGATGAGATACTCGACTGCATTTCTAAAAATAGCTTATCTTTTACCGTAGAATTGCTTAAGGCTTTGTGCAAATGCATATATTATTTTGTTCCTAACAAAGAGCGATAACTAAAGTGCTGACATGGTTTTTTGTAGTTAGGAGCTGACTCTTCTAAATCCCAAAAATAGGTAAAAAGCACTATATGGAAAATTTAATATACAATTGCTACATATAATTTCTTGATATCCTGGCTTACTGCATATAGGTAGGTAATTCTGGTCATAGCTACTGACTTAGTTGGAAAATCCTTGTACATCGTTTTTGTATGTATAACATCAGTGTCTTTTATTTTATAAAAGTGTAATAGTCGTAAATGAGTTTCATCTTTCAATTTTATATAAAGAAATATAACTTAAAATTGATTTGTTTAGCAAAAAGTCTATCAACCAATGACACATTAAACACTTTCACCAATTAAATAATGACTGATGGGCTTTGGATAAAGGTCAACACAGTGCACGTGAACAAGCCCATATTTTCTTATCTTTTGCATGCACCAAGTAAGCGCGAAAAATTAATTAAGTGTTTAACTGCCCTACCACAAGACAGAAGATTTCCCATTTCCCATTCTCATAAAATACATATTTATTTGTTCATTATTATTCATACATTGATTTTCTTAATCAATTAGTTTTATGTGTTTTCCATAAGAAATAAAGAATGAGTCGGACAAAAAGAATTAGTCGTAAGTCATAACTGATATTTAGATTGTCGCTGATTTAGAATTATATATGTATATAGTCTTAGAGCGTTGTAGACTCGATCGAACACTCCGCAGGCTCTGATTATTTTCATGTCGTTGAGCTGACAGCAAGATTATATAGGTACGGATCTTGCGTAAAAAATCCTAGAGGGTCGGTCCTCTAAAAATTAAATTCCTGCAGTCGCATCCGTCGTTCTTCTTCCTCCCTTTTTTACCAAATCAGGAACAACGTAGTCTCCTATTTAAATTTCAGCCTTGTTGTTGAAGGCGGCTGGACCAATTATGTGGGTGCCGTTTTGTGGTGCCTCCGGATTGGGATAGCCAACGATTAAAATGGATTACAGGACTGAACATTCGTTGCCGGCATAACATCGGCTATATCCTCTTCCACGCCAAGCTGCCATTTGTGCAGGAGCAAAGGATCTGCCCACTTATTAGGACTATAGGTGCCCATGTCACCTAGATGACGCTAGATGGCTCAGAATAGAGTCCTCGAACATTCTTATTATGACAGCTAAAGCGGCCCCTAAAGTGGCCTGTGCTGCCATTTCCTTTTTTCGGAATGCTGCATCAATTGCAAGTTGATATTTTGTTTGCAGGTCGCTGAAACAAATTAAATAAATAAATTAATAAATTCTTTTCATCCTGCCTCGAGTTTACCTCAAAAGATTTGTCGATTTTCAAAATCTGTGACGTTCAAGGAGTGATCGATCGTCGGATTAATGAACTTTATAATCTCAATACAAGGAATTCCTTAAAAATCACAACAAACCAATGAAAAGTTGTAGAAAATATCAATATCGATATTTTGTTTGCCCTGCTATCGATATTGCGATATTTTTGTTATTGATAGTATCAATGGTTTGCTGTTTGGTTCCTCTTATTTAACATTTAACATGTTTACTTCTACATGGTGTAGAATTCTTCCGTAGGGGGAACAATTCATAAACAGATTTGCCCTCATTCAGATAGAAAGAATGTAAATTAACAGAGCTGCCCGAGCTTAGGGCTTTCAGTACAGCTGATTTTGCAGCTTTTTTCTCGCCCTTGCCCGAGCTAACTCTGGTCACACTGGTCAACAGATTCTTTTCGAGCAAAGCGGTCGCGTTTTTTTTTCGTCTCATTTTTTAACGTTTTTAAAATTGTTAAAACAATTCGCGAACTTTTTGGTGGCCCGGCGGCAATTGTGAGTGCATAAATAATATCGTACTGCAATGGAATAGGCCCCATTAGCGTCGCGTGTGTGTGCAAGAGTTTGTGCGTGTAAGCGCTCGCGGGGGCAGCCAAGAAAACGGAACACAAAACCAAAACAAACGCAGCGTGTGACTTTGCGAATTGCGAATGTCTTTGCAAGGCGATGCTGCTCGCAAAATCTCGCCCAGCACCGCGTAAATGGCAAAGCACAAAATAACAACAAAAAGAGCGGCAGTAGTAACAACAATAACAACAACAAAAGTTTGAGTGTCACAATTTTCTTTTGCATTATTATTAACACTCCCCCGCGCTCTCTCTCGCTCGGAAAGAGTGATTTTGGCTGGCAATCTCTCTCCCTCGCCTTCAGCACTGTGTGTGCGGCTCAGGTAAATCAAATGAGTTAAATTTTATTAACCTGACAAATAAGCGAATCGTAATGGTGCGTGTGTATGCGTGTGAGTGAGCAAGCAAATGAATCAAAATTTTAGAACGCAAACAAATTATTGAATAACACGGCGACGAGTGAACGGGATCTCTCTCGCTGTCTCTCCCCTCATCATTCGTTCCGAGCTTTGGGATGCCGTAATCTCAGTTATACACTCCACGGGGGCCCAGCTCCAGAAGAGGGAGAGGGGTGGGGGGGGCCTGCCTGTAGTGGGTGGCGTATGACGGGCGGTGTGCAGAAGGCGCAGGGGACGGGGGGTTGATACTTAATCGATCGGTGGGAGTGATCTCATTGCCTCTGGGCGGGCTTGGGCTAAGCTCCAATCAGTGCGACCAAGTCAATGACGCCTTATCAGATAACAGGGGCGCACAAGTTCAGGGGTTAGAGTGTTAAAAAATAATCCGTGCCGAGCAGCAGCTGTTCAGCTTCGCAACTACCTGGGCAAGAAACTTGTATATTAGCTCGTTTCCTTTATCTCTAGATTTCTCTAGTTGATAATTTTGTAGGTTTAAATTTTGTCAATTTCCAGTTAAAGTTTAACTACTTGACAAGTAATACCTGCAGCTTAAACTTTAGATTACAGTAAAAAAACGAATTATCTTGAGAAAAGAATTTTTTATACACCTGCAGGGCATTATAATTTTAGTCAGAAGTTTGCAACGCAGTGAAGGAATCATTTCCTCCGACCCTGTAAAACTATAATCAACAGCCGAGTCAATCTAGTTATGGTCACAAAATTTATTTTTTATTAAAAACTGGGTAAAATTGTAATTTTTTTTTTATTTTAATTTGGTATGCAGATGTATTATGTTCGGCTTCCCGAAGTAAGTTTACTTTGTTCTTTTTAAGGGTAAAGTAAAGAGGAAATTAAATAAGACTTATTTATTGAAAATTTTAATTATTTCGTCTATATTAATGTTCCTATTTTAGACTTATTTTTAGTATTTTTTTTTCTAGATTGCCCTTTAATTACCAAACTTTTACCAATTGCAAAAACAACGCTTTTACTTACCATAAAGCTACTTGGAATAAGCCAAGACACTTGAACTCTCTTTATTTCTACTGCCATAATTCTTGGCCATATGCTTGTTGTTCCCTCTCATAATTCTGTCATTATCTGGTCGTACATTGCTGCCTCCTCGACTTCAATTGCCGTGCTGTGCCTCCTTCCCTGGACACCCGGCACATGCCCTGGAAGGCGCCGCAGCAAGCAACAAGAAAAAGCAACCAAAACAACACGTAAATTATTTTTGTGGGCCGCACCCAGGCGCCATTAAAAAGGCCAAAGAACATTTTGGGTGTGGGTTCTCGTGCGGCGGGTGTGTGAGCGATGGATACAAGTGTATAAAAGTGACTGAATGTATCGTACATAACTTTAATTCCAATAACCAACCACACGTCTATTGGCTATTGAAGAGACCCGTCTTTAAGCTCTCCGCCCGTCTTTTTCGGCCACGCGCTGCCGGCACTTGGTCCCCCTCATCTGCCCAATCAATCCTTCGGATACAACCTTTCACCTGCCCACTCAGCTCCGCTCAACGCTCTATAAATAAATCTCATTAATAAATTAAACGTTTTAGCGCAGGAAATTCCTTCTCCTTCTCCAGCAAGCCGTCCAGAATTCGCATTATAATTTCCTCGAGAGGCGCTCGTGTGCGCAGACAGACATACCCGAGATGGCCCCAGACTATAGCCGACTCGATCCGATTCGATATGGCGACGTCATCATCGCTTTATAAATAAATCAAATGGGAAATGTGAATTTTGTTGAAGATGAGTTCGTGTTTTTATATCAAGGTTTTCCTGGCTTTTCCTTGTTTTCATTCTGTTTTTTTGTTTGTTTCGAATTGTTGCATTTGGCAACAGAATAATCTCTGGTGTTGAAAATTGTTTTGGACTCACGTAAAATGTTCATTTTTCTTCATTCCCAATTTTAAATTGTTTTTCTACTTCTTCAGTTTTCTTTTAAGGGGTTGCTTTGTCTTTCATTATTGAATTGCCACCCAAGGAAGCATAAAAACGAAACAAAACGCCAACCCACCAACCAAGGCAAGAAAACTGATAAATAGACTCGATTATTAGGGAATTATCATGACATGGTCGGCGGCAGTCTTTTTTTTTTTGTTTTGGAGCTTATGTAAATTGTTCAAACAAGTGGAACATGAATACAAAAATTACGGATTTTGTGGTTACATTATGATATGGGGCACAAAGTCCCGGGCAAGAATGAATTATGAGTTTAATGTGGTTCGACTTCTGGTGTTTTGGCGTTTCAAAAAGTTATATTTGGTTTCTAAAAACCACTGACCTTTATAAACATGCATACTTCCAAAAGAAACACCTGTGATTTTCCACATCAAAGGTGCATAAAAGCCATAAAAGTTTTGTTAAATAAATATTTCTGGATGTAAATGTTAAAAGGAAAAGTTATATAGGTATATTCCACAAATACAATCAGACATTAAATCCCAGAGAGTATCTTTTGAGCTAATTGAGTTTCTGAAAAGCGAAGATATTCTCAAAGATTTTAGCTTAAAAAAAATAAAAAGGAATATATTAAAAGTTCTTACCTTTTTGGGTAATATTAAACAGTAACACTCTGCACTGCAGAGAAATAAAGAAAACAAAACTTTTTACAATATTTAAGAAAACCATGATTATAAGATTAGCTAACTTTGGTTATTGCATGGGGCATTCCCTTTATATTCTGGCCAAGGTTTTGTTTATTAGTTATGATGATGTAGCCGAAACGAAGTCTCTCATTCTCTCTCACATGTTTATTGTGGCTTGGCTTGCCGAAAAGTTTCATTTTGGTTATATTGCGGGGGAACTCGTGACCTTTTGTAAACAAAAGGGGCAGATAAAACACCTGTAAGTCTCCCCTTCACAAGAAAGGCATACGAAAAACACCACTACCCGCAAAAGCAACACCAACAACAAACAATGGCAATAATACGAGTAATATGAACAACAAGCACCACCCCCACACACAGTGGGCACATTGGTCCCGGCTAAAATTCCCACCGGATGTTAATGTTTTATTTGGATTTGAAATTTTCTGCTCGCTGTTTTTAATGGACGCTGATTTGTTTGGAAGAAAATAAACAATTTGGAAATTTATTTAGTTGGGGAACCAGAGATCGAATGGATTAGATTGAAACGGAATGCGCCATAATCCCATGTGAGGCGGCTGCTCTCCCGCATTTAATGGCCAAATAAATATGCAATGAATATGGCCAGTTGCCATAAGTTGGTCAAGTTTATGGCTGCTTATCGATCTTATGGATAGCTCTTCCCGGCGGACGGTACCCGATGTTTGGTGACCCCCGGCGGGACTCGCCCCTCCCGTATGCCGGCGGCCATCGTCTCGGTGGACCGCCATTTGCATATCTTTTGTAGTCCACCAGCGCCGAGTGACCTTGAGGACGCCGAGCCGCAATCAATCAAGTGTACAAAAGAAACCGGGGTCCGAGGTAGAGGGACGAAGGGGTGGTGGTGGCGGCGGTGGCTTGGGGTGGATAAGGAAAGCATCTTGCAACTTTCGCCTTTGTGGAGACAACCAACCAATCAAATTGAATCTCACGGATACAGAAACATTTGTCTCACCTTGTCAATCACTTTGACGGGGCAAGCGGGAAATGGTGAAACGGGGAAAAGTTGGGGAGTGAAGCAGGGTGAAGGGTGGGTGGTGGACCCACCCACCACCAGCGGAATATGTGGGTCAGGCCTTAAATTTTTCGCGCGTATTGAATGTCATCCTGCCCGCTCGGCGCTGACCCATTTTCCAACTGTTTGGCCGATCTCTGATTTCCTATTTTCAATTTTTCTTTTCTTATTTTTTGAGTACCCTGTAAAAACGGAAAATAACAAGGGGTAGATATATTTTATAATTTAAGATGTTTCTTATTACAAGTTCTATCAATAAGTGTACTTAGAATTTCTAATGAAAAGTTTTCAAAAGATGAACTTTTCCAGAAAGGAAACGAACTTCGGGAATACCGAAGTTTATATACCCTTGCAGTTTGCATTTGATTTATAGGAATCAAATCGGACATCGATCATAACTAAGCTTAAATAATCAAATTCTTTAAATCGATGTTTATTCAAATATTTATATGAGAATATTTTTAACAAATAAAATTTGTAAAAACTCATAACTAAGCCAAAATAACATTCATTTAATTGGAAAGCTTTTCAGTGTTCGATTTAATTTGTTAAAAAATTAACATACTTAATTTAAAATAAAAACCAAATATATATACATTTTGAAAATTTAACGATGTAACCCTGACAAATGTTGAAAAAGAGATGGCTAAATCGACTTGGCTATTGATGCTGATCAGTAATATATATGATTATAGGTCGGAAATCATTCCAAGCTTCTGACGAATTATAGTCAGAACTTAACAAAGCATGTTAATGAACAAAACTTCAGAATATTACAGATAAATTAAAGCAAAACTTTAGTATGTCATATAACAATTAAGTACGGAAGCCTTTGGTGTTACCTAACCTCTGATAACACCCCAAAATCAAAGTGACTAAGAACAAAATTCTCGCTAAATATCACGTTATTCGATATATGAACAGTTGGCCAACAAGGGTATTGGACGAGTCAGTACCTTTCTATATCTAGTGTCCCTTCCTGTTTTCGATTGCCTGTGTTCCTCTATTATTACTACCTATTTTTCTTTTTTTTGTTTGTGGCACATGCGCGCGTTCCGAGTCCGGATTGACGCTGTGCTCACGTACGGCGTATGGCAGGGCATTAAAAATAAATAAATATATTCTTGGCTGCATTGGCAGCGGCAAACAAGCCGAAATTCAAATTCAAATTGAGGCACACACAACGCACAGCACGGCACAACCAAACGCAGCACACAAACATGGCCCCGATTGGCAATTTTAATTTGATTTTCAGGCCGTTTTAGATGCTGATTA